ATTTCACGACCATTCTCGGCCCTCCTCAGTATGATACCGTTAAATAGTTTTGGTTTGTCTAGCTTCGACTTTCTTAACATACTTTTAGCTACCAGATTTAGTCCAAAGATTTCGTCCAAATCCTCAACGGATGAGGCCGTGATCCAAGCAGCAACGACCCAATAATAGCGTCTGTGGCCCCTTCTCGAAAGCCATTCCAATTGGCAAATTAGCATTTCTTCGCGTCGCCTTCCAATTGCTTTGTTCGGGCTGAAAAATGAAAGAAGAGCAGTGCCCCGTGTTAGAGCCATGGCACTTAGTCCACACTTTCCGTTCACATTCTTTGCTTTGAATTCTTTTCAGGTTATTCGTTTGGAATTTGTAGCTTTGCATGCTACGATTGATAATAGCATTCAAGATTACTTCTGAAAGGCTACAATCTTTTCATAATTCTCTTCACCTTCGAACCAGGAAATCATAGCACAGAAAAATTTCAAGCCTGCTTGAGAAACTCTCGTACTTTACTTGCTCTATCTATAGCTAGATTATTCAAATATGCCATTTCAAGCCCATTTCCTTCGCTTTAACGACCATTCTATCTTATTAATGGTATCGCCTATGCTCCACTGAGAAGGAAAAGCCTTCAGCTCAGACTAACCTCATCGATCCATTACTCCTGAAATTTGAATGATGCTGGTTACTTTATGCTTAGCTCTCTAAGAATGAATGGGGCTATAAAGGTTAACAAATTGTTTTGTTTGCTTTATTCTAGAATGCAATGGAAAGTTTCATTTAATTTTTTTTCAGATTTTGGAGCGGACACAAAAAGTACACATGCATTCCAATGCCGAATATCCATTTTCACAAACTTTGCCCCAGCAAACCCAGAGAGAAAGATTGCTCGTTAAAACAGCTCCGAAAAGTTTTCTCCTTCTTCTTTAGCTCCCTAACGAGCCAACCAAGAAAAATCTGGCCCTGATTCGAATTGCGTTTGAAATTTCAATGCGGCTCATTTCGCAAGCACTTCATTGTTTTTTCGTTAAGACGGCCATTAGGCTTCTAATGAGCCATCGCTCTCTTTCGTCTTCTTTTGCAGTCATGTATTCCATTTTCTGAAACAACGATAGAAATTCTTGCAAAAAGAATGTCCAAAACAGCTTTTGTTCGTTCTCTGTTCACCATATGCAAGCAGGTTTTATTGTCGAGTTTTTCATAATATGTGGAGTAGGCTGGCAAAACTTTTATAGTCAAGGTTTTCAAAATATGTGGAATAAGCTAGCAAAAAGTCTATGCTCCCCGCTGCGGTCCGTATTTGCAGAAAAAGTGCAAGAATTGGAGCAAAGCTTAAAGCCTCTATTATGTAAAGGTGTGCTTGCCCTTTCCACGCTGATTGCTCCAAAGTGGTTGCTGACCTTTCAGCAAAAATGCCCGTTTCCGTTCGCTTTGAATAAAAACTTCGCAAATATTCTTTGACTTTTGTTCGATAGTTCAAATGTTTTGAATAAGCGTGAATAGAACGGAAAAACTTAGATTATAATAGTTTGAGTATCGTACAATTTTGACTTTTTTTGAGCTTGAAGGCACAAAATACTTCCAGCCTGTTCTCAGAACTTTTCATATGCTATCCTATTGTTTTAGTGCAAGATTTTCGCTAAACCTTTGCAGTTTTTCGTTCGAAAAACCTTTGAGAAGATTACTTAGACGTTTCATCTGCCATTCCCGTCTTTAGCTTTAAAGCCCCTATAAGCCTCGCACGCCATCAGCTATGTTTCCAAACTCTAACGTTCTGGAATTTGCTACATAAAAATATCATCATCTGGCTGCTGTGTGGAAAAGAAAACATTGATCTCATTTCCAATGCATTTACATACATCTTTCGCATATTCTTACACTAAAACAAACCCTCAGCTAAGGGAATTATTCTAGTGTTTCCGAGTCCAGTCTAATTAGACTCTTCTAGGACTATTTTCGTGAAAATGGCAAAGCAAAAATAATGTCATCCACATCTAAGATTCTAACAATTCTTGCTTATTTAGTAGGCAGAGATTAGGTTTCCCGTCTAAATATTTTTCTTGGAATAGGGCTACCCTTGTGACAAAGGCACCGTAAAATAACGTCATCTACGTACGTTTAATTATTCTTGTGGATTGAGTAAGCAAAGGCTGTCGTCGCAATTTAGTTTCTGGTGTTTTTAAGCGGTCTAGAGATTTTTTTGAATCAAGGTTATTTTTCAGACTAAGGTGATCTACAAAACAATGTCACATCTTTTCTATATTTTTATGTATTCAATAAACAAAGATTGTTTCTAGCATTTCTGAGTCCATTTTATAAATTTTTCTTAGGATAAAGCTATTTTCATAACAGGAGCACAGCAAAACGTCAAGCACGTCTGAACCACTAGAAATTTTATTTGAGCGAAGGTTATTTTCCCATTTTGATTTCTGCTGTTTCCGAGTCTAGTCTAAAGACTTTTTCTAATAATAGGTCTAATTTTGGGACAAAGGCGTTCCGCAGAACTAGGTGAGATCCGAATATTTCGAATTTTTGTGGTATTTTAAAGATTCTTCTTGCAGTGTAAGTTCCATGGCCTTAGATGTTTCAAATTTCATAGTTTCATTGCATAGGCTGCAATCGAAAAAAGCTAGTCCCTATCCCCTAAGAGTCTAATAAATCTGCACCATTGATGTTGATTACGATCCTCTTACGAAGCTTTTTTGCTGAATCTTGTGGTATGTATCCTTGCAGGAGAGTCTTACCGTGCAAAGGTGCAAATCTCAACCATAAGGTGAAGGTTTTGCGCCTAGTCAAAGTCAATTTCAATTATGCAGCATTAGCTCCGTGTGCTCGGTTCCTGTAATCCTTAGCCCATTTACGGCCCCAGCTAGCCATGGCGATTTTCCCCCGCCATGCCCCCCCCCACTCTATGAGAAACACCCTTTTCCACGTGTTAATCATTTATGCATCTCTTCTCATTATTCCTCACATAGGATGTGCTCTTCGCCCTCATCACTCTCATTTCGCTTCCCCATCCTGGATATACATCAAGCACACCCCTTTCTTCCGCATGACAGATGCGATTAGTGAATCGATAGAACCGAGAAAATGTTCAGCGATTCCATCACCTCATGCCGACACTAGTAAAACGTTTTTTTCTAACTAGACTTTTCCCGAACGGTGTCAGCTGTTTGTCCTTTACTCATCTCATTTGTAATTTTCGCCGTCATAACTTAAAAATTTCACGAGCCTCTTTTCGAAAAGCATGGCGGTAAAACTGTGTAATTCTATCTACATTCATAGTCTGCCGTCACTCCAAACCCCTCTATTTCCTGAACCCTAAAATCTACTACTTTACTATTTTGTATAGACGGAACTAAAAGTTTACTCCCACTGCTATGTCAAAGGAGGAGGAGTAGGCATTTTCAGACTGATATTCTGAAAAAAATTGTATAACTTATTGAGGAGCTCAAACTATGACGACTTCGGAGAAAAGCTTTCACCGCAATATTCTGAAACTGCTAATTCTGAGATTCCAAGTGAGCTCTATATTAACATTTGCTCTTTTATTGTCTTTGCATTTTCAAAACGTAGTTTCAAATTTTACATTGAAAAATTACTTGGTTCACGGTCCTAATCTCAAAAAGTGTAATCTTGCAGTATTAGGGGGGGGGGGGGTAAGCAATTGAAAGATTTTTTCTACAGAAAAAGTTGACATTCATGTGCGATTCAGTGCAATTTCTGTAGAAAAAAAAACGGGTTAACTACGGCAAATAGCTGTATTGCTTTTTATGGTTAGATGGTTTTTCTCTGTCTGAAAGTCAAGTGACGTTTGTGTTTTTTGACAAAACAGGAAAGAAAGGGCCTTGGCAAGAAAACATGGTTACAAAGGTAAATATGGACTTAGAAAATTCATCTCATTCTGTACGGGAAATTTCATTTTTTCTCTGGATTCAAGAAGTTTCTAAAGTTTTGCACTTCTTATGGTTGGATTTCATTTCAGTATTGATGTGGAAGGTATGATATCTAAACCGAAGCTTATGAGTAGTTTCGAAAAGTTGAGCTAGGCTTTTATTGGTTCATTACTTTTTTGGAGAAAAGTTGCGTTTGATAGTATGGTGATATGCAGAAGGCACCTTAAAAAATCTACCGTAATCCTACAGTAACACACAAAATCCTTCCCATGTTGCAAGTCAAATTTGTGCTAGCCTCATACATTTTGATAAAAATAGGATTTTCAATTTTCCAAATCGAAAAAATCTATTTCGCGGATTATTTTCATATTTGTAACTGAGCACACCTTGAGAACAATACATTTTTGATTGTTCCTGAATGAAGTACATGAGAACTTGTCATGCTCATACTCAGTCAGCTGTCAACTCGATCCATCTAGAATTTCATGCAATTAAAGTAATGCACAGTTAATTTCGTCCGAAGCGATCAGAAAAAATTGTCAGCATGATGTCAATAGAGCTTATACTTGCAAATAAATCTTCAGCGAATACGTTCAGGCATAAGGTTTGTAAGAGCCAAAGTGATAAAAAAAATGGAAAGGCAAAATTTGCAGCTTTTGAGGCGTTTTTCTTACTAGCAGAATTTTACTAAATTTGTATTTCTCCTATGGAAAAATCCCAGCAATCCTTCCACATATTCATATGGATCAGATTTCTCTTCCGTATATAATTCACGTTTTAGGCAGGACGGAAGTAAATAATATAGGCGTCAATGTTTGTATAAGAGCGTTTGCATAACCTTGCGATTATCCCCCAGGGGTGAATTTGGATATTCTGAACTTATAAACATAGTCTTCATTGAATTACTAGGTGGTCCACCTGTTTTTCGGACATTCATCTCATATTTCTAGTCCGGACGTTCAAAAGCTCTGTTTTCTGTTTTTCCGCCTTCATCAGCTTTTCTCGCGATTTGATTTGTAGTATACCCAGACGAGCATTACTTCCGCTGGCTCGTTCTCAAAGCCAATCTCATCATCTTCATCTTATACGCTTCAAAGACCTTAGTTCTTTCAGATGTTTATGGAGCGGATATGATGGACGAGATCGTTTACGCAGAGGATCACAATGAACGCGGCACTGAATTGCCAACAGACATTGACGGGGTCCGGCAGTATGTAAGTAAAAACAAATAATTTTTTCTTTCAGTGGAAAATCAAAAAATAATGTTTTAAGAGGTAGTTTATATTATTTTCAGCTCACAATTCTGAATCGATTCTGCGAAATTCGATTTATGGGGTTAAATTTTGCATTGCTCAAGAAAAATCAGCAGCAACTTCGAATCAAAAAGTTCTGCTAATTCTATTACATCAAGTGCATTCCCCCCCCCCCCCCTCCATTAACATTTTAGAAAAAACGGTTTGCGACAGATTTTCCCGTCGCGACGCTCCCATCACACAATTATCGACATCTAATGTGTTAATTTTTGAAAAAAAATTCAAATGAGTGGCTAAGGCGTACCGACTGGAAGACTGAGAGATAATTTTTAAGTCAATCAATTCAAGTAAAGTCAGTTCTTCTTATTCAATATTCATTTGATTGCTAAGGAAATGCGTAGCAGTGATACCATTTTTTCAAAAATTTTGGAAGCGAAAAAAAAAATTTCTAGACATGTTGAGAAGAGCTAGAATAAATTATCGATAAGCTGATAAGCCTGTTGATAAGCCACAACACAACAAAGATTTGTAATAAAATTCTGCGCGAGTCTAAGTCGTTGGATTTTTTTCAAATTCCACATCTCCCTCTAGAGCATTTCTTGATACTAAAATGTAGGTTACCGAAGCTCAGACGTGCGGTCGTCATCACCTGCTCATAAACCTTTTATCGGCTTGTCAAACTTGTCAGACAGCTGTGTTCGTGGATTTTCATTGCATCTTTCTGAACGTAGAGTTTCGCAAAAAGAAGTAAGGCTGCTAAAAGTTCGATCATGTGGCTGTCTTATTTATGTCTCGCTCAGTCAACTATGATTTGTAAAAAGAAGATCTCAGGTGCTTTCAAATTCCGTTGAATAGCCCAAAGTTCAAGGCTCACCAATATCGCTCAAATAGATCAAATTATGGCCGTCTTTCGATAGACAGTTAAAGTGTTTCAATTACAACAAGTTCCAATATCAAAAACTTGACGTAAGCATACTATGTCTTTGAATGTGCAATTTAAATAAGTACTCGAACTATCTGTATTCTAAGATCTAACGTTGCATCTACTATTACTCCATCGGGATTTCATCAATACCTAGTCTTTCCCCTTGTGTGTCTTGAAGGACTTTTTTGGATGATTGTGAAAAACTGACTCAATTTCCTAGCGTATGCATAAATTTCCTGTTTTTATAAATGACGTGAACGCAAGGAAAAGATGGGAATAAGCAACGGGTTTCATCCGGGTAAAGGATGATGATTCTCAGACAAGCAGTCTTATCCAAAACCACGATAATACTCGTTCGAGTTTTTTATTTAAAACCGGTATTTCCTTTACCTAGTAGCTATTTTTGAATCGTTAGATGCATCCAAGATAATGTAGACTCCCCAATAACTCTATCGTGCTGATCAGCTGTTTGCGAATTTTTGTTTTGGACTCAGAGAAAGGAAATTGCTGATTTCCTTACGCAACACACGTCAATTTAGCTTTTTTTTCGATCTAATAAAGTGATTTTTAGGAAAAATGGACACGAGATACTTATGATTGCATCAATGTCGAACCACATTTTATAACTAGTGGAGTTTGGAAATGAACAAACTATAATCACTCCGATTCAGAGTTCAAAGTCCAAGTATTATTCAAAACAGCTAGGGACCAAGTATTTTTTCGGCAATCAATGTATAACAGGTTGGGAAGTGATAGAAGAGATAAAAAAGGTGGTGTGCACTCTTTTCCATGCATTAGGTTAAGTTTTGCAACTTTTTTCTAACTTTTTTCTCTTTGGGCATGACACGCTCAAATTTTACCATTATGAAAGCTTTGACTCAAGCTACAAGTGCAGCTACCAATCTGTTGAATTCTGACATCATGGTGAGAACAATGGTAGGCATACGGTAAAGGGAATTTTTGAATCATCACAGATTTGGCTGAAACTTGGCATAGGGGTCATAGGGGGGGGGGAGGGGTTATTTGACATTCTGATCATGAAAGCAATATTAATTTTGTGCGGTAGAGCCTTTTTGTGCAAATACGGTAGGTTTACGCTATGGGGCTCCCCTCAGTACGAGAGGGGTTAATGAATAAATGCGTATGATTTTTGTGTTCAGTAGGTCAAACAGCCCCTTACGCCAAGTTTCTGCGAATTTTGAGACTCCAATATCTTGAATCTTGACGATTGCACCTGAGCGAATATCGTTTCTTGTTTGTTGAGTGGATTAAGATAACTTCTAGCAACAATGTGCGTACGATTTCGGATCGTTGTGCATGATCTAAGTTGCAAACGGCTTTATTTTTGCTTATAACCCCATAAATCCTCAAGTTTCACTAACTTTCAAAAAATGCCTAGATTTTTCATTGATTATAAAAGGAGCGACTTGCTCCAGTATGTAGCCCGCATTCCATCCTACATCAAAAAAAGGAGCGCGCCCTCAGAAAAAAAAAGTTGCGGAAGGAGTTGCAATCTTGGTTTACAGTCTAACATCTGCTGACTGATTGATTTGTGGCCAAAAAGTCAGATTAGAAAAAATCCTTATGAAGCAAAGTAAAAATTGTAATTTACAGGTTTTTGCCCCTATTGAAAGGTATGGAAAATTGCATAGATCTGTGTTCTGGTGGTTTTTCACAACCGAGACCAAAGACTTCCTTAACTTAACAAAATATGTCTGCAATTTCACACTTACATGCTTCCAAGCTGCTAAACGGAAAGTGTGTTCAAGAATACATAAGATCAAAAGCCATAAGTTCACTGGAACAGAAATATTCGCTCTGGGTATGTACAAAGGAGGCTGTGCAAATTGTATGTGATTCATTTAGGATCTCTATCACTGGATTTGTATGAATGCAAATCTTATGAATGTTGTATCTTCGTAGTCATGCTGTTAATTCTGGAAAAATCTGAAAAAGTGTAGTTCTGCGTAACGACAAATTCTGTTTTGTAATCTGATAAACTTGAGGGTAATATACACCGCTGCACTCACATGTATTATCTTACGTGATATGTTTTACACTCAACTTTGAGAAAAATCATAAGAAGCTCTAATAAACAGTGTAGAATTGCGATGGAGCTATCAACTAGGTATTTGGGGGAAGTATATGAAAATAAGACATTACTATAACTCGTCCATTGTCCAATTCAGAACTGTAAAATGTTTTTCTCCTTTGCAAATTTGCTCATTGAATTTACTGTGACAAAATGAAATATGCACGAAACAGCACACTTTATGTGTGTTCACTTGTTAAAGCCCAAAGTTAATGACGTAAGCGTTCCATCAAACAGAAATTAGTGTTCTACAAAAACTGCCATATGTCACTTGCACATGTTTAAAATAAGTTCGCTTTCCTGTTCGTTCCGCAAAAAGGAAAAAGCATCTAGTTCCTAGTTTGAAAGGAAAATTTTCCAGAGTTGCAAATATTATAAAACGCTACCCGTTTTTTAGGTTCCGGTGTGGGCGGTCTGGTTGTTTGCTGCATGCTTTCTACTTATAATCGTGGTATTATTGTTGGATTACTGTGTTATCCGACGTAACGCTCTGGGAAACAACTGTTGTACTCGAGCACGACAGAAACGAAATCCAGCTAGCGCTATTCATCAGAAAAGATCTACCAACATGCTTCTTAATGTATGGGTAATGTTTGACTTCTGAATGATTCATTAATTATATTAACGGAACATAGCAATATTTGATTTGTAAAGATGCAAACGTGAATTCAAAATTACAAAAAGGAGATTATAACCATGATATTGACAAGTGCCCATATGCGTTCATTTAAGAAATTTCTGGAATGTTTTTGCCAATGTTTATTTTGATAACGCAACCACAAATCGGCACAAAGTGATGTCAGTTCGAAAACGAAGTCCCAGTAACTTCGCAAAATAGTTACAACATGTTCTATAGGATGCTATCCATTATTTATTATTTACTCATCCTTGGCGAGTTACAACCGGGATGGTCTTCATAAGGCATCTCTATAATCGAATTCTATGTAACCTTTGATTCGACTGGCTTGGCGGCTGGAAGGCGGGGCCTTGTGAGCTAAATAAGGCCGCTCGCGCCAGCTACGCAGTCTGCGTTTCTCACGCGTGCGTGTAGGTCACGAACCCGCCTTCCAGCCGTCAAGCCCGTTGAATCAAAGGGTACTTTGGAGTTGTTCCACTAACAATAACCCATCACCTCTTCTTCCCAGAAGTTGCTCAACGATTACGGGTTCCGCTGGCTTAGCTGGACCCTGGATTTCCGCATAAGGATCACCCGGTGGGCCAGCCACGGCTTCTTCCACTAGGTTCCCCACTTTTTCTCTCCTTCGTCGCTGTATGGCCAGAGCTAGCTGGTAGTCGACCGGTGGCGGGAAGGTTGAAAACAGAAATGATAGGGCTATAAAAATTGAAAGCAGGGGAAAAACACTGCAGATGTTTGTGCTGCATGTTGTTTTTGGCACGCGCTGTGAGGGCTTGGAGCAAGATCGCGCCCGCCACCATCTGGGAATTTTTGGGCTGTAACTAACAAGGGAAGTGTGGGAAAGCGTAATCTAAACGAGGTGTATTTGAACTTGAGATACTGAGTAGCGGGACTGAAAATGCGTATGAAGATTAGATATCCCAATGTATTTATTTCTCAAAAACCATCCCCAATATCTACAGGCTACCCACTGCCACGAGGTAGAAATTCTGGTTGGGGCAGACTTGACAAATCTGGTCAAATCCGATATTACTTGCGTTGAAAGAAATGATTTTAAGACGACAAGCTCCTTTTCAGACGGATATGTGATAAAAATTGGCTCTTAAGAATTCTTCGAGTGGAAGAATATAGTTAATTTGTTGACCGCAGGGACTGGACATCACCGCGGAGCACGCGCCGCGGGGTAAAACGCTTGGCCCAGTACAAATTCGCCATTGTACAAGTCGTGCTCTCGCGACAGTTCAGCCGCGCCGCGCGCGGTCCGCAGCGTTTTAGCAGTCCGTGCGGTCAACGAATCAACAATACATAGATCGCTTGATAAGCGCGACGAATTAAACAAGATCTAGACTGAGAACTGCAAAAAATCATTGAAGGCACCAAATACATCACACATGCCTTGACTGGCATATAACTGGATACAAAACAAACGAACAAATAGTCAGAACCTGGGAGTCACACGTGCAAAAGCAATATTTACTTTCAGAAAAATGGTTAGTCAAGGTGACCTTTGAACTCGAGATTTACGTGAAGGAAATAAGTTGGATTCAAATTTGCCTTCCTTGACTGCATTTCCTTGGATGTGCAGTTGTGGGCGTTTGTAGGAACAAAAAATTGAACGCGCAACTAGAATGAAGTCAGTCATAACGTTCTTCTCAATGCTCAAATACACCCGTGATAATTTTCATGTCACTCTATACAGCAAATATTCTCGGTTTGCGTCACTGTCTCATTTGCGCTGTGAAAAATTTTTTCGATTGATTTTATCCCAGTCACGCGTTCAAATTTTTGCTCTAATAGAACCTCATTACTCTTCGTACATAAACGTTGCTTCAGTATAGAGGGCAGATTAAACCAGTGTTTATGCTCTCTACGAGACTCCACATCCCATCTTAAAAAGCCACCTTGGATAACCATCCTTCCCTTGTAAGCGGAGAAAAGAATTTAGGATTACTATATATAGGATTTGAGATGCGAAATGAAGTTTTATAGAACAGGTGGGAAATTTCGAGAAGAGGGAAAATTATGACTTTGTTTCTTCAAGCTACCTCGGTGACTCATGAAACGGCGCATGGCTATCTAAATCTAAAAAATTTCTATCACAGCTCTACATAAGTTTTCATGATTTTTCATACATTGTTCCTAATCTTCATCGCGCATATTTCTCAAGTATATTAGCACTTCTGAGCAAACCTTTTTGAACTCTTTTCCAAACACAATACATACCCCTCGCTTCCTATCCCAAAATGAGATCCAGCTTGCCCTTTCTCATTATTGCCGTGTCCTACCCACATCTTCAAGCTTATCCTACTTCTCATGTGAAAGATTACCTTTCAAAAATTCAAAATTTTTAGAGAATTCCAAGCCAGACATGTGCTAAGGATACTGTCTAGGACAGCTTCGATATAATGGCTTTGAACTACTGCCAATTCTTTTATCTTGGGAGAGAAGCTGTGGGTTTACAACAGATTAGAGAGCGGGAATTGAGGAAGAACAGATATCTAAGTTTTTGGGAAGATGACCTCTTATCTCTCTTGAGTCAGTGCTGATGTTTCTCTAGAAAAATAAGGTTTCGTTATCTTCTATAAGCAAATTTAGTTACCGGGATGACTTTATGTAGTGATTCTAATTGTTTAAGTTTCAAAAGTTGATTGTTGCACTTTCAAACTTGCTCAGACATTCGTCATTTTGTTAATTGCAGACCATAAACAAGTTTTGCCAATCTTCATCTTGTCGAAATTACCGTATTGAAGTCTGAACTTCAAACTTTTGAACTATGTATTAGCTTGTCTTCATATTCATAACTTATATTTTCAGAAACTTAATCGTCAAGCCCAATGTACGGACCAAGATGTATAGCCGACAGATTTCCTGGCACGTTTTATTCTACACATCATACATTATATTTATCTACAATCGATCTGCTCAATTACCTCTCTGTCCAAGTGTTACGAGTCGATTTATCGAAGTATGAAAGAAATGAGAATTTTCGTATTTTTGTTCGTATGTCGTGTATGCAATAGTTTCTTTTCTTCTACTACTGAAACTACACCAGTGGACTGGTGCTGGTCTTAAAATATTCAAGCCCTGCAGTTTCACGACTTCTTGCTATGGCTTAAAAGATATGTTTTTTCAATTTACTTGATGGATAACTATTGTACATTGGCAGCTCTCATAACATGGAAAAGAGCTCTCCAGCTTACAACGTTTTCGTCCAGTTATCATACAAAATTGAATTCCGATGTGTTTATAGTCATACTTTCCGCTAAAAGAAACTCTTGCATACGGTGATTACCTTTCCTCGCATTATAATGTGTTTGTGATGTTTTCTTCATCTTTTTATTGATAATAAACTTTCCCATGATACTCAGAAAAAAACATTATTTTAATTCCTTTCAGTGTGAGAATCGAGTGCGCTACTTTACGACAACTATAACTGCTTGAGTATAACCCGCTGTAGAACCTAATAAACCACGTAGTAAATCTTAGCAGTGAACGGCAATAAGTAAGGAATCATTCAATGCTTGATCTTCTATAGGGCCAAAAGTAATCACCAAATTCGGCCGCTCAGACAACAAAGCTAAGGGTGGTAAGGACTCATTGCGGCGTAGTACGTCAATAATGAACCCGGTAGAGACTTCGATTACATATTTTTCAAGAGAAGTGTGTGGGTGTGGGTTTTGAGCCATACAGGCCCATACACAGAATAAATAGCTATATCGCCGTCCTTCTATATCTGTCTCGTTCTCAGGGTTGAGCAAGAGGTCAGGCACTAGTCCTTCAAAAACGACCCCCCCCCCCCTTTGAAAGCCCCTAAAATGACCCCCCCCCCCTCTCGCCCACTTCAACTCCAGGACCTTAGACTGTGTTATGTTGAAGAAGACCAGCCTTTACTGGAGGGTTCTTGTTTTTTGGCAGCAGGCCCAACTTTCTGCGATTGCACAACCACAGGCAACTTGACGGCAAGTTTTGAACTTGGATAGCCCTCTTTTCAGAGTTACAGTTTTTGCAGGGGTGGAGTGTTTGGCTCCAAATTTTCAATATAGCAAGAAGAGGCTTTGCTCTCAATACTCATACTAAAAAAGGAGCGATTTTTGAATATTGAAGGTAAGTTAAGGGGGTCAGGCGCAACCCCTCAAAAGCTCAGGCGGCCTGACCTTTTGAGGGGTTGCGCCTGACCCCCATTAACTTTATTTTCGAGGAAGCTTTTCTATCCAAGTTTTATGTGATTCGCTAGCACAACTCTCTAGATTCCACAATAAATGTTTGAGTTTGTTTCAACTTGTTTCGGCCTTGTAGTAATCCGTAGAGTTAAAGCACTTATGTGAAGAACACGCCGGTTGGAAATTTGGCATCACTTCTTACTTCACTATTTGAAAGTGATATGAAGCCTGATTTCTAGCATAGACTTGTAGGGAAAGATACTTTGTTATGAGTATAAAAAAGCTGACTATTTTCACTTTTGAAACCAAGTTAATCATGTTCGAAAATCACACTTTCTAGACGTTGCGAAACACTAGGAAATGCGGTAGGTAATGACTTTAGAGCTCATAGAGGTAATCTGACATGCTGATTACGGAAATAATACCCATTTCACACAGCAAGCTTACTTGGCGACCTCATGATGTGTGAAGGTAAAAGATGAAGACTTGAATTTGGCTGAAATTTCGATTGTGTAAACAATCGGTATGCTGTTCACGACCGTCATTCCTTCAGTACTGGTGATTGTGATATCCACCGGACTAGCGCTTTCTTCTTCACCTTCGTAGTATCTCCCCAACTAAACGGATTCGGTTCTTAATTACGACCCCCCCCCCTCAGTCATACCCCAAGACGACCCCCCAGATCGGGCGCGCCTGACCTCACGCTCAGCCCTGCTCGTTCTACTTCTTACTTCTACCACTTAATCAAAACGTGTTAGCCACGTAACTCCACCTTGACCACGTTCCTCGTACACCTCTATGGGATTGGGGTATGGTCTGGTGACGCATTGTCATTCTTTGTTTTCAATATGGCAATGTGAACTTCTTCTTCCGTAGTAGCCCTACTTGTCCACGCAAGTTTAGCCGTTGTGGTCCATAAGAACTTGCAACTTGTGCATGTCATCATTCCTGCTCTCCATCTCTCGTCTATCTCTTTTGTTTTTTACAACAATCTCTCATCAATGTCTTCAGTATCTAGGAGTCATTCACGTTCTTAATGACATTTACTTTTATTGTAATAGGCTGATCCTTTGTTCACCTTCGCGGTGCTGTGTAGCTGCTTGTATAGGCCCTCCAAGCAGGCTTCTTCTGCTTTCTTGACACTCCTTTTTGCTGTGCTTTTCGCGTCTAAATGATATCGTCTGTCGCGCCTCCTTTGTTTTTACTTTTGCCAGATTCTGTACGCTGCCTCCTAGATAGCAAATTCAGTCAATATTCCATCATGGGTTTCGTTAGAGTTTCGCCTTCTCCGGGTTCGCGCGTCCCAATAGGCTTGCTATCCGACGGTTCTTCAGATTCTTCCCGAATATTCTCATTCTTCTTCGGTTTTATCCTAGCTGCCTGCTATGGCAAATTTCATGGCTGCTTCATTCGATGCGCTTTTCGCTCTTTCGCTGTCTCTCTGTAATATCCAGTTTCCGAATCGGTGGTCGGTGTTAACCTATGCGTTATTCACAGGGTATGGCTTTGCTGTCCTTCAAATACTTGAAGGCAGTGTCCAGGCAAATTTGAGCCCACGGGTTTTTTGCCCGGAAACTGATGAGGGGGTCCTAACTAACGCACTGACCAAAGGGCAGCGCAAATAGTTAATTCACGGCTGAGAAATCCGTCCCCGAAAACCCCGCGCCTGCGCCGCGACCGTAACCCGAAAACGACGTCGCTCACTTCAACATTACGTTTGCGACCCATGCTAAGTGTTACGATCACGGCGCAGCTGCGGAGTGTTTGGGGACGGATTCAGCCGTGAATGAATAATTTGTCTGCGGTTTGGGCAATACTTTAGTTGGAACCTCCTCATCAGTTTCCAGGCAAAAAATTCATATGACCAGATTTGCACACTGCCTTTAAAGGCAGCATCCGGCAAAAACGCGCTGCATCCGCGGACCGCTGGTGCTTTGCACGTTCTATAACGTGTGGGAACCAATAGTTCCCGGAGACGGTGCCTGTTGTCGGAGTTCGTACCTCTACCGTCTTGCAGCTCGAAATTGCAGTGCGGGCGGACTACCCTAAGAGCTACTTCTTGAAATGCGGAAAATCGGGACTTTTTCTAGCGTTTTATGGAGTTATACTTCTGGGTATTCTCAGTCCCTTTCCTTTTTCCATATCATTGCTTTCATACCTTTGTTATCTTGTTCAGGTCTACTCCTATATTCATACAATTAGAGCCTTGTCTTTGCAGTTTAAATTAGATGACTGTGGGAACTGCGGAGAACGCATGGAGTAAGCTTGAAAATAACGAAGAGAGTATGGACGAGCGCACGACGACCCATCCTTCCGGATACGGTGGAAGCAAAAAGGCGCTTATTTTTTTAACCCGCTCTAAAATCGGAACTTCTCATCACAAGGAGAAGCGAAGTAAACGCAATGAGATCGAAATGAGTGAAATCTGAAAGAAAAACCGTTGAAAACTGTCGAAAATCTCCAACTCCCGCCGCTCAAAATTGCATGCGGGCCTGCAGCGCATACAGCAGGATTCCGGCACAGTTCCAGCATACTGTGAGAACTGTGCTGGAACTGTTTCCGAACTTCCAGATCAGTATGGACCCAGCCTCATCACTGCGCGTTCCATATCCGTGATTTCAGTGACATTTGCTTGCACAGCATCTTTGCTCTCCAGCACGACCGTTGACCACTGCTCCTATTAGTAGCATTATATCGCTCGAGCTGGTGCAGCCGTCAAGTTGCTTCCATGTTGTTTCGTGCAATCTACCGTCGGCACAGTTAGAGGTTTTGCGACGTGTGAAGGAGCGCAGTGGGACCCAGCAGATGCGGCTGTCATGATAGTAGCACCCTGTATCTTGGCTTGTTTCTGCGAATTTGAAAGTATACAGAATTTCAGATATTATTGAAGCTCGCACATCTTTTGTGAGCAAGAGTCTAGTGATTTAGTCTTTCCGGTAAAAACTGTCTTTCAAAGATACTATTATCACTTTATTATCACTTCCTTTTATTTTCTGCTGTGACCTAACCTCAGCAAGCCAAGATTACACACAGTAGAAAACGGCGCCTTTTTCAAATTGCGATATAACTTTATAGTCAGCTTTTGCACATGTTTGAACAAATTTTCAAAGCAATCAGCACCAAACAGTTTTCAGCACCAACCAGCATAACTCCAGTATACAAGCAAAACATGAACATTTCTGGACCCAGAACATTCATGTAAAACCATCAAGCCGGTGATGATAAGCCGTGCAATCCGAGCCCACCGGCACTCGCAGAAGAAGTTTATTTCACAGTTGCATCAGAGATGACAGAAGCTAGTTTATCATTAGCAAACAAAGAATCTTGCCATGTTCCTAGAAGTGCACCCGTTTGTTCTTGAGTATCAGAGAAACCTGCCTTGGTGTGGAAGTAATATAAAAGCAAAGGACGAATTAAGACCAGGCTTCTTTGAGCTGATTGAAGTATGTTGAGGCCTCCTCACATGCCTCAAAAAAATTCATTCTAGCGAATAATTGCAAGTATAACGCCCACCTCTACTCTAATCTGCTTTCCCTCAAAGTCGACAAATGATTGAGCTCTATTTTCGGCCGTCTCGCAACCTGCTAGGACGGTAATATGGATACAAATGCATAACGTATAAGTTCTTACTTTTGCGTGGAAAGAACTGAAACTGCTTTCTCAGTTTCTCGTTGAATGTTACGATTGCAAATGGTAAAGTGGTGGATAGTAGTGCTATTCCAATGTCAAACATGAATCCAAATGTCAACTCAATCATGGGCACCTTATAAATATCCCTGAAAAATAAAAATGATAAGATTTAAGAGGAAAATCTTACTGGGATTGCCAGACCAACGCATGAACACATGCGTAAGCTTTTCACCTTTACATAAAAATTGGCTCTGCAAAAAGGAAGGACTAACATGGTTTTAGGGTCTTTGGAACAAGGAAAAGTCCAAGAACAAGTCAGAAGTCACACCCAGAACCCGGTACAGCTGGGACCGGGTGAAGCTGGATATCTTAAAGCAAAGGGGATATTATTCCAAGAGTGGGTCGGAACGGAATCCCGATTAAACCTCAGAGAAACACATCAAAGTTGAACCCCACGTTTGGGATTATCTAGGACATCCTCACATTTTTGAACAAGCCAGGACAGGGCCATTTCAAACATGCTAAAACGATTTCGCACAGCTCAGAAATTCAAATTGTGCCCCAAACAAACAAATGCTTTGTCAAAAATTAGAGATATGATACCAAATTTGGTGGACAAATGAACATAGGAACAAGGCCTCGAACTACGATCCAAAAATTTATGAAAGCTTATGTGGATGAAAGTCGTGCCCAACTTTTTTCCGGACGTTCAAAACGTTCCAGCTAGGTACTAGTCAAGCTAAACTTGACAATTTGCTCATAATTTTCCATTTTGAAATGTATCTGCGTTGAAGGTTTCCATACCAGCACAAACCGGTTTCATACTTCTTCCTCTAAGCTTTTTTATAGCTCTTAGAAATTCTCACTGGTGGCGCAATCCTTTGCGATAGCAAAGCGCGTCCCGAGGTGCCAATGCGCAAGTTTTATTTCTACGCATTATGTGTCTCTATATTTCAAACTTACTTTTTGTTGCTGTTCGTTCTGTCCCATTCGTTGGGAAGGGGAAGGAATAGAGGTAGGGAGAAAAGAAGCAGAGGAAAGGTGTAAGAGGTGGAGGTTAAGAAAAGGAGATGAGGGCTGAACAATGGGTTTCAGGCTTCGACATGAAGTTTTAGTACAGTCGGCCCATCCCCACGAAGGCGTTTCATTGAAAATCGATGTGGATCAAGCAGTAAAGGAGGGTTTTTTCGTCTTTACTCTTTTTAATATTGAGCGACATCCTACGCGCAGAAAAGCAGGAAAAGCGAAGAGCTCTAAAAAGGTCGAAGGAAACTTCGTAAAATTTTCCAAAGTTGAGGGGGACTTCGTGTCATAAACTGTCTCGTTGAAGGTGCTGTCGCGGCCTGCTTACATTGCTTACATTAGTTTATTGTCACTTTATTTCAAACATTTTCGCATTTATGCTGTTCGCAACGAATCTGCAAGATGAAGAGAGCGTGATATTGATGTGATATCATAAAATTGTCAAGATGCAAATGCTTCATCAAAGGTTAGCGTAAAAACTTTGCATCTCTATTTCAGAACAAGCAAAGTGATAAACGGGACAAGATAGCACAGATGTTCGGTCATACCTGAATAGAAGATATAATAACAGACAAAACCAGCTTGCAGCGGCTTGGACTGAATACATCAAGAAGCATTTATATAGGTATGTCGCTGAAGTGACGTTTTCACGAACCTTAACAACGCTCATCTTTGCTATACAGTCTTTGACGTTGAAGTGTTCTACCTGGTAACTTTGAGAAAATTGTAGTGTACCACGATGACCTTTCCATTTGGCAACGTTTGCTCTCCTCACACGCATCATTAACTTAGAAAATCGGGTATGGAAGGAACGTCACCAACGAAAATTTCATTACCGCTATGGCTAATGCGTAGATAACTGAGAATAGCAATGCTGCCAATAAATCGCGGGCAGCTTGTGCTTTGAGTGAGTAAACGACACCATACGAGAATCCCCACTGAAATTTTCTTACATAAGACAAGGAAATGTTTCAACATTATTTTAATAATACGAGAACAGACAGAATCTGTCAAGGCGTATTTTTGGATCATGGGAGCACTGTCAATACAGGGCCGAATAGCACTGTTACCTGCAAACAATTTCACAATTTGTGCAAACTCACAAGTATTCTGTGTTTGTATAAGCTACCTAATTTTGGTGGCCTTTACAAAGTAGCAGCCGCAACAAGAGGGAAGAAAAAAGTCTAAAATTGATTAGATTGTTTCTATGCAGTAAACATTGGAAAACGCTAGGCAACACATAGTTTTCCGAAGTTTGAAAAAAAACTTTGATTAAACCATGAAGTTCCAGCTCGTACCGGGCATGATAACAGCTTAAGTTTCTAAGTGATCATTTAGGAGCAATTGCCAGATGTAAATGGAGACTGCTTTTACTTCCAGAGGCAACGAATAAGACGTATGGCTGACGCAACAGCAAATTTGCTAAGAGTTGATTACCACACAAACTACGATACGTCTGCTAGTGAGATATTTAGGTAAAGTATCGGTTAGCCATTGTGGGATAGAGGACCCAAGTATCGTACCAGTAGCACTCATATCTGTGCACTGAAAACTCTGTCTGCTTTATTCGCAACGCATTCTCGACACTTACATTATGAAATCCTCTATTGAAAAGTGCAATCAAAATTGTTGTGAAAAGCTTTAAAGGGCATAAAACAGATAAAGTACACGAACACTCAAAGGCAGTGTCTGGGCAAGGTGGGAATTTTGGGATTTCAGTGCCATGCGAGAGTTGCCCCCCCCCCTCAGACACAACATCGCGCAGGTGCGACATCATAACGCTCGACCTAAAGCAATAAAAACGACCGGAAAGTGGGGAAACTTACGCCTTGGGGCGGGGTCCGAGCTGTCCGAATTAGTACGCATGCCGCCACAGTTACAATGTAGGGTCCCACAGATTCTGCGTCTCTGCTTGGTGGGGACCGTCGAATTTCAAATTGTGCGGCTTTGGAAAACGTAGGTTCTCGCCGTTTTCACGCCCTCTAATGTGGATTTTCGGATCCATTGTTGCGGATAACCCCCGGTAAGTGGATTTACTAGAAATCGAGTTTTTGCCCGGACACTGCCTTTAAAAGAGAGCCTCAAGATACTAAAGAAAAACTTCACAAATGCATTCCTCGGAACTCACTGTTGTGCCAGACTTATTAATCAAAACAAGAATCACAAGAAATTAGAGGCTTTGAACTTACCAAGCCATTAACTGAGACGAATACGTGCAAGACATTGCGTTCATTTTCGTAGGTCTCAGAGCGAACCGTCGCAAGTTGCCGCTCCGCAGCAAGCAACATCATATGGAGCCCAGCTAAACAGTTGTTAAACGAATAATTATCATTTAAGCTGTAATATCTTACTGGCATAGAGAGAAGCTTTACGCATATTTGTTGTGAAGTCAAGAGCATCGTCAATGCGATCGACAGTAAGGACATTCAATAGTAGAAGACAATAGCATATCCTCCAAATAGAAGTGACGCAGGCAGACATAATAAAACTTCCAAATATCCATCTAAGGTTGGTGTGCACCGATTGTAAGCGGAAGAATTTTGACAAGAAAATAGCTGCTGTCGCAAAGCCGAACACATGCACAAACAGTTCGACGAAGAGGAAAGAGTGATATATCTTAGTAAGCGTAGCTTCTGGAATGCTCCTTAGCAGCTCCATGAAGTACCTGAATATTTTAGTTTACTGCAGTGACCGGGAAGATAACCATATATGAATAGTCGTACGTGAATTTGCTTGTAATATGCGTGATGTGAAAAATACAGCAAGAGGTCCTAGTATTAGGTCGGTCCATGACCTCGTAGCGTTTTTGTGGACCAACAAAATCTTCAATTTATAGTAAAAGCCAATCAAAATTATAATATATTCTTCGTTGTAGCGCACGACCTTTTGGCACATTCTTGTTAGCTCCTCATTCTCAATTTTCAAACGACAGCGCGCCGGCTATAGTCGTCCTCACCCCACTAGTCGGTCGGTGGCCGAATTTGAATTTGAACTGGAGCAGGCCGGCCGCGGCAGAGCGCGGCAGACCGCCCCTCAGCCAACCGCTTGCACATGAGCTTTTCTCTTATTTTCTTCGTGCTTCTTTGCTATCTCTAGTATTGCGCAATGTTCTTGATCAGATTTCTAGATTCTGTACCGCTAACTATTGTTTTGTGCAGTTGTGACCGTTTGTTTTACATTTTTTCCAGGTAAACCGAGAAGAAGGATGCGATCAGAGATTTTTGGATGAGAAATCTCTCTACCGCTAAGTGACATACATACAAATGTGATTTGATGAACTGTGTCAAGTTGTCAGAATATATACTCTAAACTATTTTGTTTTTGCGATGGGGCTGAAATTCCCTCAAAAAGCGTTTGTTTCAAAGAGTTAGCGGACTCTGAAATCTGATTTCGTCCATTGCCACAATACGAGAGATAGCAAAGAAATGCGAAGAAAATAGGAGGAAAACCTATGTGCAAGCGGTTGGCTGAGGGGCGGTATGCCGCGCTCTGCCGCGGCCGGCCTGCTCCAGTTCGAATTCAAATTCGTCCACCGACCGACTAGTGGGGTGAGGACGACTATACCAGGGAAGTCATGTAACCAGCGATCAGACTACTTGATGCAATCGAGGCATACACCATTCATGAGGTTTGCTAGAGAGGGAAACAAATGACAATCGAGATTTGAAGAGTACGATGGGTACTGTTTTAAATCGTGCAGGACAGTTTTGACGACGTTTGCCGTATGAGGTCATGTTTCGTCATGCAGAAGAACTCACTGGATCTGCCTATGTGTCTATTTTGCGGTGGGACTTAGTTTAGACGGTGCAGTTGGATTGCTTACGGTGTAGTTGACTATCGCCTATTCGTACAATAATTTCAGTCAGGACGTCCTGCCTGTCCCCCGGAAAGTCTTGTTCAGGACACCCTGCTCAGCCCCTGATCTTTTGTAGCAGTTCAACCCTTTTTTGTCTCATATTGATGTATAAGCGCCATGTTCCATAATCGACAAAGAAAACCTGTGCAAAAACGCTCCTTTTCATAGGGAAAAATGCGCAAATGTCGAAATTGCTCCTTTTTACCTTTCAAGATTCCCATCTTTGGAAGCTACGAGCGCCGAGTTAATTAGCTCACCATCGGAATCAGTAGACAAATTTTGAAGAGCACAACCACCTCCCAATGATATGCGCATCTTGCCGCAAATCAACCTCTTCTTAAAGATATGAAAACGAAAATGAAAACTCTACGAACTTATGGAACGACCTAATAATTTCAAGTTCCTTTTTGTTCAAACTTGGTATTAGAAACAGTATTCAGATCCTGCGCCACATAAATTTTTTATGGTGGTAAGCCGCTAGAATGCAATACATTGAATATATTGCATTCTAGCGGCCCTATGAATCGCTAACAAGTGTTGAGACGATGCATTGTAATGCTCGAGCAATCACAGGATTTTTCGCAGCGTAATTCAAAGTTTTTTTTGCACAAATCACTTTCAAATAGTGTTCAAATTGAATAGGTAGACATTAAAGCTTTTAAAAGACCTGAAAAGGGCAAGGGAAGGCAGGTTCCTGCAACGAATTGAACGGAAAGCACTCGTTTTTCTTTTGCAATCTCTCGAAAGATTCTAATTGATCCAGAACCTTCAGTGAGATGTGCCTTCCGGATCTGATACCTTATTCATTTTCTATTGTTTAAGTAGGGGAACCCATATACCGCTAAACCGCTATACAAAAAGAAAAGCACTTAGTTTTTTGAAAAGTTTGCAAGTTTTAACAACTGGGATGAAAACATTGTTTTAGCGAAGCCCAAAAAAGTGTTATGGAATTCTCTTGCAATAAAAACGCGGGTAGTTTTTTGCAACACCACCTCTATGACAAGTTTGGCAACGAAGAGTAATGTTTTTATCGTCTTTTAGACGCGTTTTGAGGCGCAAATTTTCCACAACTGAAAAATCACCTCAAAATAGGGACACCCACTAAGCAGCGATCTTCATTAAAAGCACTCTTTTAAGTCACAGACCTGTATTTTCAAAGATGAATGAACCTCAGCACCCTTTTTATGCAGATTTTTATCTACAGACACCCTTCTTATATTCAGTAGTATGCCAATTTTGCGTAGAAAAAAGCAGATAACTCGCTTCGGAATGGTGCGTGGCAGCTAGGAATAGCATATTTGGAATCGGAGTTTGAAGCTGATTCAGAATTTATATGCTTTTCACGAAAAGGCCGAGCTAAGTTAGGTAGCTTTCCTTATTAGTCCTGTTTTCGTTATGCATTAGATTACTATATTGCAATAGCGAGCAGCAACACCAGCTTCCGCTAGCAAGGCTTTGGAGTTTCGGAAAACATTATCAAATATAGAAAGCATATTGGATGGGTACATAAATCATTGTGAGCTGAAGGAAAGCAAGATGAAAGTCTCCAATGCTGGAAGTACGAAAAATGTGGTTTGAATGCCACAAAATTGAGATTTGGGATAGATTAGAGGATGTTGATACGAAAGAGGGAGGGGGGGGGGGCAGGGGGGAATGGGCAAACTTGGGAGATTTGCCCCTTGCTCCAGCAAAGGCAAAGGTATACGCACGTTTCCGAGCAAATCAGAGATCAAAACTTTGAGCGGTCCTGACAGGAGAAGCTCAAAAGTGGTTTTTGGGATGTAGTCGAAAGGTAAACAAACACTAGCAAAATATGGCGCAAACACTTTGATATTGCTAAATTTACATATTGATATTAGGGACATTCAGACATTCTTAATGAAAGGAATGAGTGTCAGATTTTTCCCTGATCTCAAAGGGGCCGGGGGGACCTTTCCACACGGTTTTTCGAAAAACATTCATTTGGGAGAAAATAAGTGATAGAAAAGCGGAAAGTGGGTTGGAAGGTTGAGGTTACTCTCGCTGGGTACACATAAATTTTTAAAATTAGAATTTTTTCTGATAAAAATCTAATCTAAAAAACTCAAGAACATGAATAGTGTGGCACAATTTTGAAGAAATAAGGAATTAGGAAAATGTGGAGAATTTTTGAAGGGTACTTCTCGGAAAGAAAGCAAAATATGCTTATGATGATAAGCCTTCAGGGCAGGGGGGGGGAGACTGAAAACAGGGGTGGAGATTGCAGCGCAGTGTCACAGAAGAGCTTTCAATTTCTTCCAAAAATCTTCCAGATGACTTAGATGGCAAACTAGTCCAAGTTGCACAATCTCAGCAGATTTGCCTATTCTAGACCAAGCAAGCTGATGTTCTAAAGCTGTGTATCTTCCATATGCCAAAATTTAGGGAGCTAAGAACAGCTCTGCTGTATATTTCATTCACCTCAACATGCAAAATCTATAGAAATTTCACTTATTTCCCGTCTTCGCTGTTAGCAGATGTTTGCAGACACCCACTTCTTGTCTAACCTTAAGAATAGGCAATGTGCCAAACTTCTACGCACCTCCCACTTCTACGCATGCACACGGCCAGACCGAAGTGCCTCTTCGAGGCACTTCAGTCTGGTCCGTAATAAGAAACTTTGGACGGGCTCAATAAGTCAAAAAAGCTACGCCTTTGGAAACGCACTGTCAATAAGGTCACGATGGTGCTGCCAGCGTATAGGTCACAATCTTGTCGTACAAACCGGGAATTGTAGCACGCAAAACTCTCGAAGCGTTTTGGATGATGGCTAAAAAACAAATTCAAACCGCAACGAGTGCATAACAGTGACACAAGAGCTTGCCTCCTACCAAACCTGACGTAGATTAGTCTGCAGGAGGAATGAGGTTTGCGTTATCATTAGTCTCTCATACGGATGGTCTTGGCTCCAACAGTCACTTTATCACGGTAAGTAATTCCCCGTGTCCGTTTCTGTTCGCTTTGATCTCCTATAATCTCTTGAATGGATCTCTGAGGTCAGATGCGGCGTTTGGATGCGTCATAAGTGGTTCTGATTTTCCAGGGCGCTCTGACGAAGGCGAGGACGCCGAAATGTTAGCATCAATAAAGATCATAACATTTCGGACTATGCTTGAACAAAAATCACTATCAAAAAATCAAATGTTTCATCAAGTCACGGGAAGAAGCCATACATGACGCTCACAGGATGATATAGCTGAAAAGGTAAGGGGGCAGAAAGCACAATACATTTGATAAAGGTATGTCCTATGCACCGCTTACAGATCAATGTAGGAAAAATTTGAGTAAAACTTAGCAGCCAGACGAGATTGTCGCTTTTTTGAAAACATATCCTCTTTACCCTTATAGCAGGCCTTTTACAACTTTTCTCCTCCCAACGCGCTAGACTATCTGACAAACTGCACTTACCAGGAAAGGAGGGGGCTTTGACACGTTGGGCTAATTTGAATATACCACCGTAACGAACCTGCACTGCATAGTGGAACTGTACACAACATGTATGCAGTCTTACAGCTTCAGTTTTTACTAGCTGCTGTTCTCGATAAGCTTCAATGCTATCAAGCCAACGGGAAAGTTTTTTCTTCTACCGAGCTTGACATTGATGCCATGCTTTACGAAAGTAAGAGCTATAGTTGTTGTATAGGATTTGTAGAAAAGTTTTTCACCAAGCCATTTAACTAACTAGTAGTCGTTTCAAAGAAAGTCTGTAGGGCTATGAAATGACATGAAAACAAGCTAATTCTGACTGCAATACATGAGTTTAGACCTGAAGGTAAGGTAGTGAAAGCAGCCACCGTACACAGTGCATTATCTGATGCTATGTCTAAATTCAGTGTGATGCAGATTAGGTCAAAATCCGAGTCTAAAGAACTGAAGCGTTTTGCAATATTCCAGAAAGATTTGCCACACAGATAAGAGGTTGGAATTGGCTTCAGAAGCAGATCCATAGGTGCGCAAAACCACCAATAGGATGTGGTCCCTTGTGACCTCTTAATGAATTGAAGATAAGTGCAACGCAAAATTTTAAGCAAAGTAAACCCTTTCTGAGTCAGCTTTCTGTCGTCGGCATCGCCGTCGATGCTTTTTTTGAATACAATACCGCTCACATTTTTTGAAAATTAGACGCGAATGTATGGACATGTCCGTACATGTCCATACATGTCCATACATTCGCGTCTATCTTTCAAAAAATGTGAGCGGTATTGTAAGTCGGCCCTTTTCTAATTCGAACTGCTAAAGGCAAAAATGAATTAAGTACGATTACAAGAAGCGGTCACCACGGTAAGTCATAAAGCAAGCGAGCGGCATGACCTGAATCAGCCACTCCGAAGGGTGGTGACCCGACTTAACGAATTTTGCTTGCTTTGTACACTATAGCTCTGCGAGACTTGCCCGAGACAAGCAGAGTGTTAGAAGAAAATCATTTACTAAGATCCGAAACTTGAGCGACTTGTACATAGGTGCCGTTGAAAACGCCATCTTTGTGCCTCATCAATTTCTCTAATAAAGTTCGGAAACGCCAGTAGAACATGCCAGAAATGGGCTGAACACAATGAGGCATGCGTGGTTGAATTTGAGGGAAATTATAGGCATTTAGCGGAGGTGCAGAACTAATTTTTCGAACTGTCTAATAGCGTATGTGGAATAGAGCAATGCTGAGTTTCCAATGAGTCAGCAGAATTTCTCGCAATTTGATTGCAAAGATTAGCATATGGCAGTCGTTGCACACGATAATGAACGGTTTAGTGTTTAAGCATAATTGGTTAGCGCTCAACTTCCCGCTTATAATCTTTAGACGACAACTGAGAGCAAAGTATTCTGGTAAAAACTCTGCATTTATGCTTAAAAGCGAATAATACTGACCTGGAGGGCAGCCTCAAGAAATTGGCTGCCGTTCGTCATTTTCTCTGGGTGTTCTGATCTGCTGAACTAATATCGGCTTTATTTTGGAAATATCGAGAACCAAAATGCCTGAAACGGATGATCAGGTACTGAGAGATAATGTGCAAATTGTAAGAAAAATGTGCATTTTATACAGATTGAGATCCGCATATTTCTTATATCGCCCTAAGGTTGAGGACTTGCTGGGTGAATTGCTTGAAGTTCTCTCTTGTATTAGCTTTCCTTTCTGGTGCATCTTGGATGTATTTATAATCTATACAAATATAAAGCTGAATATTGGTATATTGTTAGTTTGTGTTCTTTATAGAATTTGTGCATGGACCTATAGCCCCAAGCTTTGCACACTTTCGACACCGGTTCACCCATTAGACTAGGTTTCCGGCTAATATCCCTCTCCCTATAATGATTTATCGAATTTGAAGAAAAATGAATTCTTATCGTGTACTATCAGTCCAATTCCAACTTTGGCTTAAACAACTGCGGTGGTACTCATTTTTATCCCACGATGAGGGAGATTCGGTAATACATGGCGATGCTGTCAGGAATGCCTGGTCTGCATTACAAGAAAAGAGAAGGAAGCCAAAATGCAGATACGTTGAACATTTAGATTTTAGAGTTACGCACCAATTTGCTCTTCGTTAAACCCTAGGTGCAGGCGAAGCCAGGCATGCCAGCTAGTAGGTAATAAAATCAAGTCCCTCACCTATTTTCCCACAGGATGACTAGAAAATGTCGTCTCATTTACGTTTACGTTATGTTCCTCCTAATTTTGTCGCATACTCTCAGTTCGTAACACTGATGACGCCCTTTGGTCCTTTCTTCCAAAATTGACAACCTCGACGTTGAAGATATTGAACATATCAACATAGCATATGTAGAGCCAAAGTGCTTGAAAATAAATGCTAGAGAACACTTAGGGAGGTGTTCGTTACTTCACGGAAACAGAATTTTAGGCTCTTTCGTCAAATATCAGAAAGTGTAGCGGAAGCTCACATAGATCCCGTAGCTTCAAAAAAACAAAATAATCTTAATTCTTTTCCTCGCTTCTCTTAGAAAGAGCCCGATTATTAGTACCTTTCAACCGCCTTTTTTGAGTAGCCTCTCAGAAAGATAACTATGCTGCTTGAATGATATCTATCGCAGTGGAAAGTCTATGGGTGGTATTGTCCTTTGTTACCTTTTCTCTCCCCTCTCCCGCCTACTCGCCAGTACACATACACATTCCCCTATATCTTTGAAAAAGTAGAGAGGAAGAGAAATTCTCGCGTTAAGTTTAGGTAGAGAAACAGCGGAAGTAGACGTTAGTTGCTTGGCGCAGGGCTTCCATATAATTAGTTCCCTCATTATCTTCTTCCTAAATGATAGTTTATGTCTGTACATTTCTAGAAGGTCGTAAATTACTACTTTATCCTCTTATTGCAATACTCTCGTTGTTACTGGTGTAATACCGATGCTAGCCTCCAACAAAAGCTACATATGGGAAGCGAGTTATGTGCATTACTTTGTAACTTAATGGTTAAATAATGTGTGGGATTAGAGTTGTGTTAGTGTCCATAGGTCATTATAGAGTATAACGCTCCACGTCTTCGTATATGGACAACATACAACAATTGAATAAAAGCTTTATTCATGGCCAGTCTTATAAGATAATCTGAGCGATGTATGAACAAGCGTTGAAGCTAGAACCAGCGTTTAAATGCTAGTTTCGAGGAATAAAGGGCCAAAGTGGTTTGACAGCGACCGCTGGCGGTGGCGTTGGCGGAGGCGGAAAGGGGGCCAAGAAGGACCGAGAATTGCTGGCAGTGGCGTTGGCGGAATCGGAAAAGAGAGCCAAGGGAGACCGAGAATTGCTGGCGGTGGCGTTGGCAGCGAAACAGTGTGCCAAAATGCAGCGAGTTCCGATGGCGGAAGCTGATGGTTGGTTGGTCCAGACAAAGAACACATTCCTGCATAGAGATAAAGCTGAGTAGGCAAACATCAAGGACTATTATCCAAAGAATGCACAAACACGCCAAAGGATCGTTTTCGGGAACTTTCGAGTTTTTCCTGAGGCTTCAAACATTGATATATATGGGGAGATTATATACGAATTGTCCCAAAGTATGTATGTACTGTTTGATCGTTAGTATCTCTCTTCCCAAGAGACTTCTGCCTACCTTTAAATACAATTTTGTAGAGCTAGTTTCAGCTTCAGCTTCAGCTCCACATTATAAAGCAAATCATTAAACACTCTTCATTACGGATTACGGTATGAACTGTTGGCTTACAGCGTCATTGCGGATTGGTCGTTTTTCAAAAAAAATTCCAGAAATGCTGAAAAGTGATTAGAAATTTTACGCACCTTATTTCATTACCCAATTCTTTACTTTGTAAGCGTAGGTGCATAGGAGCGCACGCGAAAGAGCTATGTTATGAGAATAAGATGTAAGACACAGTTAAAGGATCAGTGTGTCATGAGAATAAGATCAACTGTTATAGATACGAGGAATGATGCGTGTTCCGCAGTATGGTACATAAGCCGCCACAGAGAGCACAAGCCGGAATTCTTAATTCCCGCACCGAGCCTCGAACTAGGAGGATAGCGACTGGCAGCCCGAGCCTCCCCTCTACGACCACAGGCTGATGCCTGCCCGACTAGTTATCCAACCTACTGTAATGATCTTGTGCCGTTGTCGTGTTCATTCGCCTTTGTGGAAATTGTCTTATTTGCATTCAGTAGAATAATAAATAAACTGTTAATCTGGCTAGTGTTCGGGTATCTACCAGCCTTAGCCGCTTCCACGGCGCTACGTTGAGTATTTGTAAAGCTTTTCAATTGGTGTAATCACAATTTTAAGGGGTATTGTAACGACAGCTATTGCGGTTTACCTGGCATAAGTTACGAATGAAGCACTGCGGCAAAATGCAAAGCTCATATCAAATCTCAGTAGCTCTAGTCATCCTAATGTAAGAGATTCCAGGTAGTTTGCTTTGTTCTATGAGGCGAAATGGCACTCTTAATGGCTCAAAACCCTTCTAAACGTTCCTACCGTAATTCTGCAGTAATGAAGAATGGTTGGTGATTCCCATACTGTGAATCTGAATAAAGCCAGCTCTACATGGTATCTGAAGGTAGGAGAAAGACCTTTTAAAGAAGAGGGTTATCAACAAACAAACGTTGTATGCATACTTTTGGGATACCCTGTCCTATACTTGGTTGATCCGAAAGTTCTGTCGCTTTGAATTTGAAAAATTCGTAACTCCTTCTTATGTGAACGTAATTACTTACAAAAAGTATACTTAGGTAAAGAAAAGTCATCTATTTTTTAATAGCGCTTTGCGGTCTTTGACAGGGGCTCCAGAGATAAAAATTTAAAGGCGAACCACTCTAACTCTGCATTTTAAAAATCAAATTGTCATAAATCTGAAACGCTGCAGAAGAACTTGAAAATGTGCTTGTACAATCTACGTAAACTGCTCTTTTTAAGAGTGCCAAATGGCAAGTTTGTGCTGATCGATTTCTATGAAAAGTGATGATTTACGAGGAAAACGCAAATATCAACTTTGATGTTTTGTACTGCTGACTCAAAAACCATAACTTATAGTAGAGGCGTTCAATCAACAAAAGCTTTGCACAGTTAGAAAGAGCAGTCAAGAAAACATATAGAACCTGCTTCGATTTTTCAATGCAACTTCGGATTTATCGCGACCAAACATAGAACGTTAAAAATGATTTTTTGTATTTTCTTCGAAAACCATAACTCTTCATAGAAATGCTCAACCATGACACACTTGGCACCAAGAAAGAGCAGATTACGTAGACTTCAACAAACATGCCTTCAATTCTTCTGCAGTTCAGATTTTTGACGAGTTAATATCCAAAATCCAAATTTGGAGTGTGCCTTCTATTCCACTTTTTATCTCTGTAGTCCCTTATCGTCAAAGTTGTTATTCTCTCAGAATATTTTATGTAAGTAAGTACGTTCAAAACATTTACAAATTTTCCAAAATCATAGCGACAAAACTTTCGGATCAACGTAACAATAACATAAACTGAGGTTTCTTAAGCGGATTATTTCTTCAGCACGAGTGTTGTAAAGAGCTTCATCACTTTTTGATCATATATTTGGATTTGGAGCTTAGCATTTAGTACTTATAGTAAGCATTGTATTTACTTGTTACTTCGCAAATCCAGCCTAGATTCTTGTGCAGATTGAGATAGGCTCCATTTAGGAAGTTCACATTATCGTAAAATCGACCTTTACAATCGCGGTTTCTAGCGTTCTAAAACCTAATCATTGGATTGATTTGATCACTGCCAGTGTGTATAAAATAAAATGGTACTTTTCCGTTATCCGGACCCATTTTTCGAGAAAGATATCTTTTCTGATCTTGTACCAAAAAAATTTGACATTTCATTTACATGTTCAACGGGTTTTACTACGGGTTTTTTACGCTACCTAGCGACTTAAGTTCAATCTGTATTCTAATTAGTAATGACCCCATTTTCAACTAAACAATCTCAGAAACAAACGCTGTTATAATAGTAACGTCATCCTGATATCATTGAACAGATTAGACCTGCCCAAAATGGAGAAGTGCCCTAGGATTCCATTATCCAAGCGGAGAAACGAAATACTGCAAGCCATCATTTATAGTCTTCGTTGGCTAAATTTGCATGGCGGAAAGTTCGAAGAGGAAGACGATTTTGAATTCTTGCTGAAAGCAATCAAGATGTTCTGCGATAAGTTTTAGACAGTTTTCCTCTTATAGAAAACAGTTGAAAGGCTCTTAGGTGATGACAAATGCTCATTTCTCACCGGAAATGACTTCGAAAAAAAACGCGTCAAAATGGACTAGAACGTGTCAATTTTTTCCTGATGCGTGGCGGGAAGGCAGCTTCATAGAATCTATGAAAAATTGGTCTTAGACTAAAGAACATATTTTATGAGAGCCGTTTGAAAAAATGGGTCCGGATAACGGAAAAGTGTTAATAAAATATCCCTCCTCGCTATTGTTAGGAGACTTTGACATGTGAGAACACAAGCAAAATGTTCATAACACACCTATGGTTTTACATAAAGGTGAGTCTTGCCTAGCAAATTCAGCGATGTTCATGGTTAGCTTTTCATTACAAAAAAAGTGCGTAACTCTACCAGATATGGTTTTTTGCTTCAGATAGCATGTGAACGTCCGCGTTTTGTACCACTTTTGGAGGACAAAAAGTTCGCTCAGATAGAAGAGCCTACATTTCACCAGCAGAACCTGGGCGATAAAGAAATTTCAAATGATAGAATGAGGATAAAAGATCGCTTTTGAATTTTCGCGGGGCATTTGTTTTTCGTTGGCTGCTGCTCACCTATCGGAAGTACCAAAATCTTGAAGCTGTATTCAGATTTTTAACATTCTAATGGTCAATGATTGGGAACTTGTGTTACACGTTTTTACATATTAAAAAATGTCAGCACCTGCACTACTTGATCACTTACCAGAGTTGCTTTCCTTCAATTGTGCATTCTCCTCGACGAAGAGCTTTCCCGCGATAGGATGAGAAATGAGAAGAATCAACCAAATTTTGGTCATCTGGAGGTAAGATAAATTATGGTTAACAGATCAAATTAACGGCACAAAAATGAGACCTTTACAGCGCCGCTTTGTCTATCAACTGAGTGATAACATACAGTGCTTGATTGGTAAAGCTTGACTGATGCGGACTACTGTAAACGATGGCTTTGTGATACCTACAAATTATACCGTAATTCTCTGTCTAAGGCCCGTATGCACGTACATCCCCGCGGAGAGGGGAGGGGACTGAGAGGGGAAGCGCCATATCTCGCTGCTTGTACTGAAGATATACTGCGATACTGCTGAGCATGTTTTTAACAGAAAAAATGGAATCCGAATATTTTGATTTTTTCGATAATCCCTGGCTCGCGAGCAGCGGTTCATCGAAAATTTTGATATTTTGAGATTTCACTCATTTCTACCATAAACATGTTTAGCAGTGCTGTGTAGTATATCCACAGTACATTTTTAGAGCATTTTCATCGAGTTTTCAGGGAGATAAATAGCTTTGAAAATATGAGGTGATCCCTTGGGGATCCCCAGGGGATCAGATGAAATAGTGAATATCTAATCTTGTATGGCAGTAACCTAGCATCCGCTATGCGCATGTATGAGTGTATGAGAACCGTCAAAACCAAGACAGAGAAAGAAGAAGAAAGATACATAGACTAGCGAGATATCACGCTTCCCCTCTCATATCCCCTCCCCTCCCCGCGGGGATTTACGTGCATACGGGCCTAAGTGTGAACTGATACATTGTGTGGTCACATGTCTTTACAGACCCCATCTCGTTCCCACCCTCATTGAGTCTACATTCTAAGAACCGTAGCTATTGATAAACAAAATAGCATAACAATTGTGTGACACCTTTTTGAAACACTGAAAGGCTACAACAGCTACAAGCCAACTTAAACTTAGAAAGTGCCTGAGCTCTTATTATAATCAGCTGCTTGCTTCAGCTTACATATTGAATTGTCATAAAACACCTCTAAGTGCTCCAAGTGAGACAAACTGGGAGAAATAAAGAACGGAAGCAACCGGTAGCTTGGAACAAGTTAGAAACATGAAAGAGAGCGGAATGAGGAGTTGCTTTTAAGCAACCTCCTCTGACTCATTTTTGATATTTTGTTGACATCCCACTCTGAAAAAAATATGAAAAATGCAATGAATTCATAAGCTAGGAGACCTGCATCGTTCTCCCCCTCCGGAGAACTTCTATACTTTTGATATAAGCGCAGACTCCAAACATTTTAAGTTCAAGTGGTTTAGTCATAATAAAACATCGACTGAGCGAAGCGCCCTTCGAACTGTTTTGCAGTCATTATCAAACCAAAGCATGCGATAACATAACTTTTGATTACATTCGTAAATAGTCAAAGCGTTTTAGATGTACACTGCCAGAGGTATATTCGTATTCTGTATACGTAATCTGCGAAACGCTTATGGAGAGGGTTCAGGAGATTTGAGGTAAAGACTGGATAGCTACTAGGTTATTTAAAAAATAATGTCGCTTCTTTTGCTACCTTGCAATATCGATGTGGGATGAATACAAAAAAGGTGTATGGTTTACTATTTGATACAGCAAAGCAAGCTCTACAGGAGAAAGATCAATGGTCGCACCGAGTTTGAAGTTCAAAGCCAATTCGAATTCCCTGACTGCCTGAAAACCGAAGGAATCGTATGGCAGAAAGCAATTTTAACCCTAACTTACTCACCATACACTTACATTAAACACATTCTTAAGCACCGTGTTGCAATTTATCCCAGAGCTAGAAATCGGGAACGAGTCGCTTTTGCTAGAGTAGCCTTGAGTTTCAATCGGGTAATCGATTTTGTGTTATTAACCTTTGGAATTTATCCATAAATTTGCGGATTGTGGGTGCTAGTTTTCGGACATTGAATTTAAGGAAAAAACGAAAATGTAACATATTCATAAATTTGACCTATTTTCGTTTTCTGTATTCTAGCTTTGGAAATCCACCTACCGTACATGCGAATATCTAATGTAGAGAGTAGGCACTCAGGCAAATTTGAGGTCTGTAGGATTTATGGACTGAGATGCTATTTTTCGGCTACTCATAGTTTCTTACGTTTTGGTTTGAAACTATAAATGTAACTGCTTAACTACTTACTAGAATCAGTATCTCTGAATCACCATGCTCAATGCTGACGATCGTAGCTGCGATTGCTGCACCCTTCTGGTGCAATTTTTGCTTTAGAATTCATCTTCTGTAGCGAAGCGGGATTTGGTTACTGTTAGTTAATGTGCACTACCGTACCGTATTAGACTCTCACCTCCAATACTGGGCGCATGATGCCTCCAAGATATTCACTGCTAGCCATGATTTTGTTTTGATTGCATGATAAAAGGTCTCTTCAAAACACAAGTTTCCACAGGCTTTCAAGATATTTTTTGTTCGAACTTGTGTATGGGTATGACTGATTTTCGACTTTTTTTTCCTGCACCCACTTGCTATCATTCATGATGAAGTAAGTCCCCTTTTTCAGTTACAGACCACTATAGCTGCATACACGATATCTTTCAACAAATATAACCATTCCGTCCACATGTTTGTCAAGAATATTCAAGTGTATTATGTTCAACTAAGTGTACCATACTATAATTTTAAGCCTTGTCGTGCACAACGGCCGCGCATGCAGATCAGTGCCTACTGAGCTGCACATGAGGTTCGATAGTTTCCTGAAGCTTGATCTATGTCGAGCATTCCAGGAGTTCAATCATGTACCTGCATGCATCGAGGCGTGATGTATAATGAATTTGCTTAACGGCTTTTGCTTGTTTCCTTTATCGTGTCTTCAAAAACTTGGACAATGATGAAGAACGACTTCGTCAGTGTTATCAAATGCGAATGATGCTGGGAATGGTGTAATCCACACGAATCGGGTAGAAAAAAATAAGCTCTAGCTTCCGCTAGAGATCGAAGTGAAAAGCGCAACAATTCGCCAACGAACTGGGGGGTCAAAGAAGATGTCAAGGGTTTAGTACAAGTGGCAGGGCTCGGTACAGGTGGCTTATAAGTGAGTTTGATATCGTCTTCGGGACAAAAGCAAAGGGAATATCGTTTTCGCGGTCTGAGAAAACCCAAGTTAGTTCAGGTTTTTCAGTCGACATTTCCGATTTTGGTTCAAAGAAGACTTTGTAAAATTTTGCGAAAATCAGAAGTGACTTCGTTCTTTGAATATTCGGAAAGCGATAGTGCCGTGACATGTGGCTTCTTCATTGTGTGGCCAAAGTTCTGGGATCGGAGAAACTTGCTCGAAAAAGAATTCGTTTGCTTGAAGTCTAACCACGTTTTTAGATGAGGCATTCTACGGAAGGCATCGAATTCTGATGAGCTTTGTAAAGCTCCCCATCCTCCTAAAGAATTTCACGATAAAATCAGGGAGCAGTATGTAGCTTTGCAGTTAGCAGTCTCAGAAAATCAAAACTCTTTTATGCTCTGTTTTTCTGTTGTCCCCCTCCTCTAGCCATTTCGTCTCAAATGAAACAAAAGCATATTTTGTGATAAAAAAAGAATTCCTTTTGAGCTGCTCTTAAATAGAGAATGGCGAAAATTGCGGCCGTACTTGCGCAGAAATTCAAACGAAGAATTGAGCTCTTAGAGGCTCCTGAAGGAGGGTGGAAGGACATAGAAACAGGGAAAGGAGTTGTAGAAGTTGATTTGATGGAATAAATTGCCTTTTAGTGAATCCCTGTTTCAAGTAATGATTGGAATAATTTAGATTTATTTGAATGTGTTTAGTGTGTTTGGTTCGTCATAACGGTTATATTCTTGTTTTGTATGTTATTTGTTGATCTCATGAAATCGAAATGCTGAAACGTTTACCGAGAACAAAAGCTGATCATTGAATGCTTAATAGTTGCCATTCTCAGAGAATTTCTTCTGGAATTCCATAGAAGGTCCTGGCCACGGTGGCGATGGAATCGACTCACTATGGCGATTGGTTGTTTCAGAGCAAACTCCTGCATAGAAATTCAAATGAGCAAGCATTGAGGAGACTCAACCGAAAAATGCTGCATTCTTCGACAGGTGGTTCCTCAGAGTTGTCGAAATTTTTTATATTCCAGCTTTTTTTGTGATGAAGAGCTGTCTAACGCAGTCTGCCGGCTAATCTTGAAGTTCAAATACCTACTTACCCGATACATCGCAAATCCAGTCTAGATGTTTGCGCACATCAGCAAAGCAACCACCAGCTGAAATGTCTCAAATTAGTTTAATGATCACTAATCAGCATCAAGTTTTTAATTACCTTAGGTCTTGAGAACGTTGAATACTACTTGTAATGTTTCCTGAGGTTTCATTTTCCTTAGCTTTTGATCCATAATCAAGCTGGAGTAGAATATGATAATCTTATTCTGTCTGTACGTATGTGCGGAATAGAAATTTTTATTTCTGAACCGATTTGGACCAAACTTGGCACACATATACTTCGGGGCAGGGAGCGTGTCATAGGCTACTTTTCTTATCGATCGATATCGATTTTATCGATTTTTATCGATTTTTTTGCTGAGTTCACCTACGGGGCTGGGAGTTTGCACAGGGGGGGGGGTAATCAAGCATGGGGATCCCGAATACAATATTGGTTTCCAGAATTATCGATTACTTTTATCGATTTTATCGATTTTTTGCAAAGTTTGAGCTACGGGGCTGGGAGTTGGCACAAGGGGGTAATCGAGTATGCTGATTACGAATACAATATTAGTTTTTGAAATCATATGCTACTTTTATTGATTTTATCGATTTTTTGCAAAGTTTGAGCTACAGGGCTGGGACTTGGCACAGGGGGGTAAGTGGGCATGCTGATTTCGAAAAAAACACAGGGAACGGGAAATGAAGTGTAGAAGTGGGCACAGGGAAAGGCTGTGCAGAGGTAGGGATGGGACCTTTATTACAGTGTTTTGAAAGGCCCGAGCGAAGCCGGGTATGCAAGCTAGTGCTTTATAGAATCGGTTTTGGATTGATTCTCTATGGCGTTATAAATTTGTACTACTAGTCACAGGCAGTTGTTTTAAGCTTAAAACCTACAACTTCCACTCCAAGCATGGAGTTGAATACTTTGTAATTTGTGGCTGCAAACAGACCCTAGATTTGATTTTCTTGAAAATGATTCAAATGCTATATAGTGTTACCATTTATTTCTGCATAATTTCTGCAGCCAATCATATGAGCTGACAAGGCTTTATTTGTATAAATACACAATTTTAAAAACTTCAATGAATTAGCTAATTTATGTATAGAGGTAATTACATTCACCTTTTCGTTGGATACTGCAATCACTTATCTCTACATTCAAACTTGAACATTAAAAGTTTGTGATGATAGCATAGGGCAAGAGAGGCTTTTGCTGCAATGGTGAATTTTACGTACCAATAGGGATCATATGATTCTCGTCGTATCCATGGGTTGCAAGGCTTCCACTCACATGTCTCGATGCTATCCCGAAAAGGTAGTTCTTCCTCTCAATTTTCGAATAAGTGGGCCTCCACTGTCTCCCTAAACATACAAGTTGTTGGACTACTTTAGCCTATACCTGAATGCATTCTTTACGAATGCTTCTCGAGCAAAATAATACTACGGTTTCAGTGAGTCTTCGGAGTTCACCAAATCTGAAAGCAATTCAGAGCCTTTAACACATTGACGACCACGCAGATTTTCACTTGTCCGCCCTCTGGGACCAAGGTCTTTTACGAACCAGCCCACATTTTTTCAACTATAAATACGCATACTGCCATGTCCAGTGCAGCTACAGTAAATACGAAAGGCTGACAGGTAATGCAGAGGTCATCCCTAGGTTCATTGAAAAACAAAGCTCCTGAAATGATTTTTTCCCAGGATAGTAGTCATTTTAACAAAATTTAGGTCTTCGGTCCCACGCGGTAGTCACTGATTGACACACCATGTGTGTCAAGCGGTCGTCAATGTCTTAATAAACAGTATAGCTTCCTGTCAAAATCTCTGAAGAATTTTGGAGAGCATGTTTCAACTCACACCTACGACGTCATTTTTCTCCGAGGTCAGGTTATAGGCGAGAATAACCTCTCCACCTTCCTTTACAACATCGTATCTTACTGACTGTATTCCTTCATGTTCACCATCTGGAATATGCGATCGTTTAGAACCTTTGAAATAGAAGATTTTCGCATAATGATAATCGCAAGATTATTCGTATAAGTGAAAGTTGGCAGGCGCATTAGGTTGAGTGTCGTTGTATTTATAAAAATTGAATCCTGTTTACATCAGACATTACAATCATAACTGGAGACGTTTATGGCTGCAAATTTCACAAGCCAATTTCTCAAAAGCAAATACTCTAAACTAGAGTCAAAATCAAATAGTAATATATAACAGGGGTTGCGTTTGAGAGCCTTATCAAACAGAATATTTTATGTAGATATAGAAGATATTCGATGAAATGCACGCGCTTATCCCAGGATTGTTCCTGAGCTAAAGAAATTCTTTGCATTAGAAATGACATGCTGCAAATTCCATAAAAGTTGCTGAAGCAGAAATATGGTTGCAAAATAGGAGAAGTTTCAGTATAGAAGAATGTTAGGTATCAGAGATGGTTAGGTTTTGATCCAATTAGACAATCACCGCATATTCCGCAGGTCAAGCAAAATTTGCAGCGGTTCCGCAGAATTTTGTTTACCATTGCAAAGTGGAAACGTTGAAAATGGGTATTTCTCAAGATTTTCACGTCAACTGGTCGAGAAATGGAACTTCCGCAGCACATTAAGCTGTCAGTACTTCCGCAGTTTTGTGAATGTGTTGTCTCTTACGATGTCGTCTCGCCAACAACTACATAGAGTTATTGTTGAACATGTCATTCGCGGTGTAGAGGATATTGAGTCAGTCTCGTAATCGATAGAGCAAGATTGATCTTGCTTAAGTGTTCTCCCTGCTGTTGTTGACATTCACCTCATTTGAGAGCTTCCGTTGCACGTTAAAGGAACTTCCGAAGGTGACCCGACGGAACTTCCCTAAACATTCTGCGTTCTGGTGAGTGGTCTGAGTCCAGCTGCTATTCAAATGTGAGCTGCTGCAAGTTCAAATTGAATGTTTTCGATGCACTTCACCACACTTCGAGGCTTATCAGCATTTCAGGCACAATAAGGAGCGTGTTCTGCAAGGTAATGCGAAACCCTAGCTGGTCTCGAAACTTGTTTCATACTGCTTGACGATTACCTACATACGCATCGGTGAGGTATGCGGAATAAACCAAAATGATTTTAACCCAAACTGGCAATTCATAAGAAGCAGTCCACTCACCCCCTCTCCCGTAACCAATGGACTCGAATTCTTCTTGATCAGAGATTACAAAATCCACCTCAGGCATACAAATGGGCGCATTATTCACGCTTTCTCTCAGTTCAACTACTGCGATGTCATTTTGACCAGCATTTATACCAGCAAAATCTTCATCATCTTGGCAAGTCTTGTATTCCGGGTGAACAAATACCTGTAACGGCGCTATCAAAGGTGAGCTACCTCTGCAAGAAAAGCCATATCCAGTGCTCCACTTACAGACGTAGATTTAAAGGGATTTCTTGCATACCAACATTTCGCTTCTGTGCAGTTGCTTTGAAGGGAAAAGCCGATGCTTTCCACTGGCCGTCTCTCTGGGCGTAACCTATAACTTTTTTGCAAACTTAGACGAAAACCTATCTATAAGATTGAAGAGTACTTTAGAGAACACGATCCTTTGGTATCAATGTGTACGCAATGTGCAGCAGTCAGGATGTGTCTAGTTGAAATCAGCACGCCGCTACACATTGGTTCCGTATGCGATTCTGGTGCCTTCCCTGTCGACTGATCAATGTAGCTATGATCTACTGCAAAATGGTCATTTTTAGTAATTAGTAGGCCTTCTATATTCACCAGAAAGGTAATGCAAACTCTAACCAGCAATCCAGGAGAGGGCAGCAGCAAAGGGATAATCAGAAGCTTCGACTGGTTGCCGCCTCTTGAAGCGTGTTTTCGCTGGTATTTGTAAAATAAAATAGCAACAGAAATATTTTTATTCATACAGTCCAGGAAACAGCATAGATTTCCTACTTTTGTTTCCAACCAGTGCATGAGATTATGAGAAATAGCATTTTTGAGTTCGCAAATTTCAAGCCGAAGCTTCGTTATTTCATAAATCAAGTCCACACTAAGAACGTATTTTGCTTATGACTCCGATGTTTTCTTAACATCTTTCGACTGGAAGCAATAGTAGTAATGGTAGCGCTTATCCAAGCTGATAAACATGAAATTTATCACCGATTTACCATCATTGTAGAGGTCCAAGGCTTGAAGTAATCGATGTTAAACGTAGACCGAGGCTCCCTCCCCCTACCCCTCTACCCCAGGTTTGCGAAATTTGTGAAAGTTACTGGCAGAATTATAAAAATAAGCAACTGACTTGATCATACTAATAAACAAAATAGCTTTAAAATTCTTCAAAAATTCAAATAGGAACTGTTAAACATTTTTCGGCGCGTAGCTGCCGCCATGCTCTTTCTAATTAGGGGATATGGGCCAACAAATTTTCGGAAGCATCCCAAAAAGTTTTCGAAATCGTAGTTCATAGGTAACTCCAAAAAGCGGGATGTCTTATCAGAAAAATTTTCGTCTCACCTCCCCCCCCCCCCCTTAGAGAACATGGGACCGTCAGATAGAGGATCAACTTGCTGACACTAGTCTTATGTGCCACTCCTGTGTTCTTTGTGTCTTCGAGAAAGAACCATAACTCTTACTCTGTTTGTTCGAATAGGAGAAGTTTTTTCTACGGGTTGAGCTCTTATCATGAAGTACTTCTGACTGCCAAACTGGTACAAGATGGGCTCCAAGGTAGAACAAACACGTACCTGTTTATAAGCCTACAATATGTCGTTCGATAAAATCTTGATTTACCTGCTTCGGCTCTTGAAACATTTTCAAAGTGCTTCGCTAATCAAGTTGTATCTTATGCAGGCAGAGTTTTAGAATTCACAAATCCATAGAAATCGATTTGAGGTTTTCTCCTGATATTGTAAAAAGTAGAGCTAACTTTTATTACTGTTGCGTCAACCTCACAAACGAAAAGACGTCGAAGATCAGCCTAAGTCAATCACCAAAACTTTTTTCGAACACTACCAGCAATCTGATTTTTGACATGCATAAGTATTCTTCAATTTCCTGTGCTCGATATTTAGGCATTGTTAGTTAAAAATGTTGATGTATGCTAAAAAAACAGTTCATTACCTTGTGAGTCAACAGGCTTGCATTTTTCCTTCCGTAGTTCATTTTCCTCATCAGTGAGCCTTCCAGCAGATGTTTCATGAAGGAGAAGAAGGAGAAGCAACCAAGGCGAAATCATCTACACATGGAATCAATTTGGGAAGGTCAGATATCTTTCGCGTAGGATGTCTTGACCACTTTTTGCTTTTAGAAAGGACGATAGTCACTAGATGTAAAAACTGATAATGTAGACTAGTGTAAACGAAATTTTATGTCTCACAATCAGGTGTTTCCGTCTTCTTATTAATAGTGTGAGTAAGCAAGCATAGCGATAATTTATATTTGCCGTTTCTTCCTGCTATAAATGTTTTCTCTAATCTAAGCTTTAGCAGTTGCAACCCAACAATGCTGGCGGTATGGACTTAAGATAAAAAAAAACCTTTTTTTATCCTTTTGTAAACAAGCAAGGTTACAGCCTAGCCCTACTTTGTTTAAACAAGGAAATTCTTATATAAGGTTTTTGGTAAAATCACCCATTTGTTTCAGCTCACATATCGAGTTGTGCTGAACACTTTACCCGTTTTGCTCAGGAGAAATGCAAAAGGATTTCAGGAATATGAAATTTAGTTGACGAGCTTCAAACTAAGCTTGGAACAAATGAAAATGTGTGATAGAAAGCACAGTAATACTCAGCTTTTATACCGCTTATTTTGATTCATTTTTAATATCCGTTCGTATTTCAAACCGCAAAAAAAACAAGAAAATGCCATGTCCTTTCAATCCGCAAGTCGCGCTGGCTGTGTTCATCTCTCAACTGTATATCTTCAAAAGCATCGTCACAAAATTTGAATGACCTTTCACGTTTTTTAATAAAGCGTCGTTCCCTGGAAAACCGAAACAATTCTGTGCCCAAAGTTTTTAGTCATACAAAAACATTGTCTTGGTGAAGCATTTTCAAAGCTTTATTACATTCGTCATCAAGCTAAAGCGCATGATAACATGAGTGCATGAATTTTATTCGCAGTGAGATTGAATCACCACAGATCAGCGTTTTTCTCCTACATCATTCGACCTTGTATGTTAGTTGAAACAGCAGCTATGCAAAACCCAAATGCAAAATTAATCCTTGTCTTATCAGAGATGACTTATATATCTTTCATAGTCGTTTATTTCTTATAGTCAATGATCTCTGTCTCATTACGCATAAAGCACTCCTGCCGTTGTTTTCATCATCGCCAACGTATCTTCAGCGTTGGCTTTGAACTTCCCATCTACAGCAAAACCTTTCAGGGCTCTGTCTATAAAAGTGTGTGCATGCATACGAGATTTCAGATCGTTAGCACAATCATCTCGCTGACATGAGGCCGCTGCGCCTTGAACATGAGATCATTCAGATAGATAATCTCAAACTTTCTTCGTTCTGCGTCTGCAGTAAGCTCCGTTCTAATCTCAAGTTTTTCTTCTCACTCTGCTTTGTCGAGAGTCGGTAGGCAAGCTTTGGTGACATATTCTTACCATATTAGATAGCTTCTAACTCCTTATATAGAGCATAGCACGGTTAGCAAGTGAGCCTAACCTTCCTTAACTCTATTATTATGGGCTGTATCTTATATATGATAAAATGGAGACGCATCCTAAAAGAGCACAAAAGGCAATTTCAGGTTTATTAACTATCCATACCATGTTAATTTAAAAAATTGAGCAAGCCAAAATAGTAGCAACACTTTATTTAAGCCTAACAATTCGGCAGTGTCGTCTTCATAAAAGCCTATAAAATCGAGTTCATGAGTGAGTATTCTCTTATTCTTCAGATTATAGCTTAAATCAATCAATTTCGATAACTGCGGGGCAAGGAGTTTTTTTGCAAACAGCGGGTGCATATCAAAGCGCGTGTACTCCAGTAAGCTGCTTAGCAGTGTTCTGGAAACGTCTTGGGTCGACGCCAAAAGATGACCCGAAGGGAGGATTGCATATCACTGATGAACTGCGCCACATCAGCCCCCTGTGCTGAAGTAAGCTGAAGTCACCCGAGCACAATACAAACAGCACAATACAACAAACATTTTCCTAATTACGCTCTCAATTCGGATGCCTTACCTCCCATAGATTTCTTTAACTTTGAACGCAGTGCGCAAGGCACTAATTACAGACCAATACTCGTGAAGTGTTACGGTGTATTAGTGACCAAAGCGCCCACATGTTTTGCCCGTTGTCGCTTCAGTGCACGTGTTTTCTCTGGTTCGCTGGATAGAACAGTTCTATGATATCTCAAAAAGTAGAGATGAAGAGAAAATATTGCTTGCACCTAGTCTAGGCAGCGCAAATATTCACTTTTGCACAGGATTGAAATCAAAGTCGCCCTCGCACAGTTTTCTGTAGAAAGGTTAAAGGAAATGACATAGAGCTATAGAAGCTTATTCAGTGAAGTATGAGTAGTTTCGGTTTGATCTACGCATATGTAAGTTAGTACCTTCGAGCAAAGACTTTGGCTGTGTCTGTTGCAAATTCTCCTCCAATCGCAAGCGACATATACAGTGACCGCCAAAAAGTTGCGGACAAGCCTCCCTCCCTTTTTCATCGCTCTTTTTCAGAGGGAAAACAAGGATAGAAAAATGTAATTATTGCATGAGGTGAAAGAGCTCTTCAAGATCTACTATCTACACCTTGCGTTTTTCGAAAAACATGTATTCTAAAAACTTTAAAAATCTTTTTCTAAAAAAAGCCCGAAAATGGCCGCGTCACAATGTCGCGGACAATAATTCTTCGAACGCAAAAGTTTTCTTTTGACTCCTATTCTAAAGCGGAAACACAAGTAATCCAGACAGGTAAGCATACTACTATACAGAAGTCGTCAAGAACTACACACTGGTTATGGTTGCTTCCCAAAAAACACAAGCTTGAGTTTTATTTTGCTTTTTTTTTTCAAAAATAACTTCTAATTCTCCTTTTTAAGCCGAATTTTTTCACATAGAAACCTATTTACGACATTCCAACAACGGTGTTCGGATAAAGTAGATGCTCTTTACCATTCTCCATGCATCTGACGTGTGCTGGTGAGTTTCTTTGCTGAAAATGGCTCTTGACTGTGCGTGCACATGACCCCACCTGCACCTCACCGCTGACTTGCACCGCTTTGCAGGCTTGTATCTTAGCCGGCAGTCATTCCACGAGTCTGAAAGTAGGCTCATTCGAAAGAGCATGGCTTCCTGGACACGATGGTATGCAAAAGAGTTGGGAATGAGAAACAGTAGAGATTTGGCGGATGGGGTGGAAAAACGCGACCTCAGTGGTGGTTGGAGTGAAGGCTCTTATCATCACCAACACTTCTAAAGCTTCAAAATGGATCTATCACAAGAACATTGACAGTTTTAAACTTCCAGGGTTGAACTGGTAGCGAAAGCTCTTTTCAACTTTAGCTGGATATCCTCACCCTACCACTGAAGCTGCGTTTTTTCACCCCATCCGTCAAATCTCCGCTGTTGCTTATACCCATCTATTTTGCATACCATCGTGTAGAGGAAGTCTTGTTCTTTCGAATGAGCTTAATCGCAGGCCCACACATTGACTGCAAGCCGAGTTACAAGCCTGCAAAGTGGTACAAGTTAGCGGTGAGGTGCAGGTGGGGTCATGTGCAAGCACTGCCAAGAGCCATTTTCAGCAAAGAAACTCATCAGCACACGTCAGATGCATGGAGAATGGTAAAGAGCATCTACTTTATTCGAACAGCATTGTTGGAATGTCGTAAATAGGTTTCCATGTGGAAAAATTTGGCTTAAAAGGAGAATTAGAAGTTATTTTTGAAAAAAAAAGCAAAATAAAACTCAAGCTTGTGTTTTTTGGGAAGCAACCATAACCAGTGTGTAGTTCTTGACGACTTCTGTATAGTAGTATGCTTACCTGTCTGGATTACTTGTGTTTCCGCTTTTGAATAGGAGTCAAAAGAAAACTTTTGCGTTCGAAGAATTATTGTCCGCGACATTGTGACGCGGCCATTTTCGGGCTTTTTTTAGAAAAAGATTTTTAAAGTTTTTAGAATAATGTTTTTCGAAAAATGCAAGGTGTAGATAGTAGATCTTGAAGAGCTCTTTCACCTCATGCAATAATTACATTTTTCTATCCTTGTTTTCCCTCTGAAAAAGAGCGATGAAAAAGGGAGGGAGGCTTGTCCGCAACTTTTTGGCGGTCACTGTAGCTAAACAAAAGGTATTATAATTTTTCTAATTGCAAACCCATATATAGCTAAAAAAGGTGCTATAACCTGGTTAGCAGAACATCACTACACATGTTCGACACAAATGCCCAGGCTACAAGATGAGAGTAGTGAAAAATATCTTTGTTTAATTCGCGGATGGTACGGCCATTTTAAATTGTGTGTATCACCTAAAACGACGATTACATCATTGTTCATGTGCGTATAGTTGTGACTGCTATAAGTGAAATGCTGAAACGTTTACTGAGAGGAAGAGCCAATTCCAATAACTAATCAAAGATTACCATCGAAAATTCGAAAGATAGATCTGACTGAGGTGGCGATGGTATTGGCTGCCTTTGATGACTATTTGTTCCAGAGAGTGGACAGACTCCTGCATGATAATGTGATTTAGTAAGAAGGCATTGAGGTCTGCTAGCTATAAAATACTGCTTTTTATATATGGCATATGCTCTCAAAACTTCCATATTTTCCAGTGCTCTGATTATGTGATGTAGGAAGAGACTACGTACCAGAGCTCGGCACAAGTGGATTACAGGGCAAGCTGTATATCGTTTCGGGATAAAAAGCAAGGGGGATATCGTTGAGGCGGAAACCCCAGTCCCCCTCCCCCCCCCCCACACACACAATCTCCTTCTGTCTTTATGTCACACATCTTCTACAGAAGATGCAAATTGTCATTTCTGCCTTATCAATCTGCAAAAACCAAGCATTTCCTGTTTCAACATGTTCGCCGGTTAAGCGCGCGAATTCAAACCTACCCCGAAACAAACAAAGGAGTTGTTTACAGCGAAGAGAAAATAAGATGATACCAAAATTGGTGTGTAGATGGGCAATAGGGAGTTAGGACTATGTGCGAAAAATTATGGAGAAGTTATGTGAACTGAAGACATACTGTGGCAAACTTTTCTCGGAGTTAAATGTCTTTCCAGCCCCTCAGCCACCTGAGCTGCCTGTGAGAAAAGTCATATATTTCTTTCTTCGCATAAATTTCTCACATGTTTAACCTAACCTTGTCTGCATCAAAAACCCTACGACTGAGTTTTTGACTCTCTCTAAACCTCCTCTTCCTCGCCTAGTTACAGCCCTCTAAATATTAAGTCGTCCCGAAAGTTTTGTCGGTTTTTTCAGACCACTATAAGACCACGCACAATGAAGATCTGAATGAGCTTTAGCATGTATTCGATGCAGCTTTTCCTTCTTTTTCTTGTGGTTACATTTTACGAACCATAATCCTGTATGCTTTCTTTAATAACTGCTGAAATTTTTCACCCGTCAATTTTGTCTGCTCAATTCGGCTAATTTTTGAAAATCTCATTTCAAAGTTTCGGAAAGGGCTAAGTAGAGGTTGAATAGAGCAATTCCCGGACTACAAGATGATACTTTTAGATTTCATTAGTCTGCTGACTTTCGGTTCAAAAAATTATTTCCTCGGAGGTCTCGATTTTTGGCAAAGTCATGAAACATGCAACTGCAGCAAAAACATGAAAACTTCTGAAGTTTCTGCGAATTGCAACATGATTCTTATTGAACACTATTTATGCAACATTATCCGGTTTGACTTGTTTCAAAAAAGCAGTTTGGAATTTTCGCTACTTTTACGTAGCAAACGTAATCAATAAGCCGCGCTTTTTATTGAATAAATAATTATAACGGACTTGGTAAGCGTGACCCACGTAATCTAAAATGTGTATAATGTAGCCAAAGCTTTGCTCTACATAATGATTACCAGCGCTCCTTAAAAGTGACAGATAGAAATTTTTAAAATTCAGGAAAGGTTTGGCGTTACTGTTGAGCTGCTCAAAAAGCCATGGCGATAACACTGCAAAGACAGGGTAGGTCAGAGAGCAAATATAGCTGTAAGAAAGAGGATGAAAATTTAAATCAAATGGCACCTAAAACGTTTATGGACTTGTGTTCTGTGAGTTTTAGTAAGCGATGAAAGAAGCCGACAAAACTTTCGGGACAACCTAATATTTTGTATGGCGGCGGCAAGCCTGCTCCAAGTGCGCAGGGGTGCGCGCCGGACACAGCATGCCGCCATTTAGACAAATACAAACATCTTTAGTTTTCTTTCGTCTGTTCAATGTTGTTATCATGTTTTGTTGCATTAATTTTCGTTATTCGTTTTGATATATTTATGATCTCGTCATAGGTGATGTCGTATTTTTGTGGCGAAATTTACAGGGACTTCGTTTTTGAAAAAATTGAAGAAGTACCTCATGCCGAGTCCTGAGCTCACTCTTAATTTTATTCATTCCACTCTTTTAGATTCGAACGAATTTCATGGTGTACCTTCTTCCTATTTTCCTGCTCTTTTTGACTGAATGAGAGGAAGCAGAACGTCAGTGAATTCAACTACTTGCTGTGACGTGTTCTATGTGTCCATCACCTTTATTCAAACCAACTTCAGTTTTTTTTCGTAATGTTCGATGTTAGTTCTACGTTGTTCCATTATTTTTTTGTTATTCGTTTTGATCCGTTTATGATCGCATCTAGGTGATGTCGTATTTTTGGGCCGGTCTACAGTGACAGGGACTTCGTTTTTGAGAAATTGAAAAAACCACCTCATGCCGAGCTCTGCTACGTACTCACGAGCATTGCGTAGACTTTGTGAGAACGAGCATCGAATTAAGGCGTCGGTAACTGTTTATGCTTATCGATCCGCTTACCAGTTTCCTTGCAAATCCATTGTAGGTATCTTCGTACATCCGTGAAGCGGGCTCTAACTGAAAGTATAGAATTTATATTACTATATAAAATTCCTGTGTTCGGATCATACTTTGCGCTCGAAGAAGTTGAGATGATTTACTTCGCTTACGGCTCGTCCTTCTCTGGCAGGCTCATATTTTTAGATGGCTCGCCATTAGATTTTCTTTGAGTGTGTTTATATTCGCTTACATATATAAGCAGCTAGCATGGTTTAGTGATGGGTCACGTTCTCATTGTTTACTTTATTCTTGATAGTCACAGAGTGGCTTTAGACTGTTGTATCAAAATACTTGTTGCACAGTTGCTCTGACATTTCTCATACTGACATCTCAACTCATATGTCTTATATGCTCGTATTACTCGTGTGTTGTTTGTTCGTGCGTGTAAGTTTGGTTAGTGTTTTTGTAATAAAGTTTAATCACCCAAGTTCAAGCTGTCGCTGTCTACGCTGTGCACGCAAGCTTCCACGTGGCAGCAAGCTTACAGCGCACTGAACGCGGTGCGATTACTTCGAATTCGCTAAATGAGGTGAGCTTGATTTTGAAATTTCGGGTCTGTCTTTGCATAAATTTCTCCTTACTGCATTTCCACGCAGACCGGAAAACTCACTACCAACATGTGAGAGCAAAAGCAGGAATAGTGAATTCTATTCCCATGGTTTTGAATTGGAACCCGGAGTTTAGTGTTGGGTGCACTTAGTTTGAATGTCGAAGAATCACGGCACCTTTGCGCAAAAAATAATTGATAAGTTTACATTTGTTATGAGCTTACTTTCTAGGTTGCACTATTACAGCACTAAGATCTCATGTATTGTATTTTCTAGGGAAGGAATTCTCGTTATTACACTGTAGAATAATAATGCTTGTGATTTACATCGTACTTTCGATAATGCTCTTTTCTAAAAGAAGAGCGCGATATTTTGTATCATAAGTAGATTATTATAAAAAGATCGCTAACACGCTGTCTTATGCGAATAGAAATGTAAATATTGGGTTGTCCGGCAATTCATGCCCGTTTTGAATTCTGACAGTAAAGAGTCATACATTTCCCAATTCTAAATAAATTTCGCAGTGTCATTCGATAGAGCAAAACAAGCTTTAAGATGACGTTCTTGCTTTTACCCTATCTTTTACCCCGAGTTTGAAGGCGAAAACCAAAAAGATCTAACTGACCGAGGAATCGAGAAAAATCGTACTTATATCAAAATATCAAAATTATCCTAAAAATTTTCAACTGCTCACGTACACACTCTCCACATCAGACATTTATATATACCGCTACCGTATTTTTTCTCGGTCAGGAAAAAAACGAGACTTTTCTTGCATTTTCCCAAGTGATGCTGCGCCGCTCACACATGAATAATTGTATACTACAAACCAGTAAAAGTACAAAAGTAAGTTTTCAGCTCTCATTAATTTCTAGCTCTCGAGAAATATGGCTAAAGCTTGAGACACCCACTAAAAAAATGCTAAATTCTCGATCTCTTGGGCAAATTAGATCTTTTTAGTTTTTGGCTTCGAACACGAGGTGATAGAAAGTGGCGTAAAAACAAGAACATCACCTTATACAGCTTGCTTTGCTCTATCAAATGGTTGTTCGCATCCTATTTGGACATGTGAATTGTATGGCTTATTGCGGTTAAAATTTGAAAAGGGCATTGATTTTCGGACAACCTAATACAAAGAAATGTAAAAACAGAAAAGAGACTCGAAAAAGTTCTGCTACTTTTTCTGTGAGTTGCAATAATTTCATCAGACGTGATTTAGTATGCGAGCACATGGTAGCATGCAACGAGATAATGTACTGTATTGTTAAGGTCAGTGAATTTGTTTACCTTTTCTTTTCTTTTGCATTCCTGCATATGAACCCGCGATCCTTTTAATTTGGCCGCAAGATAGTATTCCGAAAACGTAATTTCTTCCCTTTAAGTTCTGCAAAAGCGGACCTCCGCTGTCTCCCTAAATAACATGCAGGTACTCAACATCCGGTTCTTCTGTAAATGCGCCGTTCAAAGTGTTCCTCGACCAAAATATCTTCAATGTTTAGAGGTTTTCCTGCATTCGTAAACGCAAGAATCAATCTATTAAAATTTGTAGAGGAGCTATACAAGTCTGTTGAAAAGCCACAAAAAATTTTTTGGGGCGCGGTGGTAATAATGACCATAGAGAAAGAGCTTACAAAAACGGTACTAGACGTACTGCTGTAGACATGGATTGTCCCAAGTTTGCTATCCCGATACGCAGTACCTTGGTACCATACTGACTGCATTTCTGGAATGTTCAGTGACAGAGAATATGGAGTAAGGAAGACCTGTAAGGCCCGTATGCACGTACATCCCCTCTGGGGGGGGGGGATCTGAGAGAGGATGCGATATCTCGCTACTCTAGGTATCTTTCTTCTTCCTTCTCTACCTTGCTTATAAAGGCTCTCATACCCTAATACCTGCGCATAACTGATGCTAGGTTACTGGCATGATTGATTAGATTTTCACCACTTTGTGTATCTCCCGGGGACCCCTGGGGATCCCCAGGTGATCACCTCTCGACTTCAATGTCATTTATTTTCTATGAAAAGTCAATGAAAACGCTGTAAAATTGCATTGTGGATATATTACGGCACTGCAAAAGATGTTTATAGTAGAAATATGTTAAATCTCAGGATATCGAAATCTTCGGTAATCCCTAGTTCGCGAGCTAGGGATCGATCACAATCTTCAAATTCCGATTCTCCTGTCGAAAACATGCTCAGCAGTGTCGTAGTATATTCTCAGTGCAATTTCGCAGCGTTTTCACTGAATTCTCAGGAGTGTTAGTAATTTGGTCGAAACCAACAAATGATGTGATAGTTCAATCATGGTTACATCGTGGTAAGCATGATCATCTTTTCACGGCCACTCAGTTCAATCGGTCATACAAAATCATGAAACAAGCAAGTAACTAGCAGAAAACCATAACTGTTTCATGCTTGTTTCATTCTAAACCAAACTATGAGTTAAACAGCAGGTTAACACCATTGTTTCCTTATCAGATATCCTTATCAGATGTTTTCATTACTCTATCCTTATCGGATAGAGTAATGAAAACAGCACTTCATTTCATGAGACGCAGACGTGAAACCACCACATCATAGTTTAAAATGAAAAAATACCCCTACCAGTTTTTCGTTTCAAACAATGATGTGTTGGTTTTGCAAGTTAACACGTTGACGACGAGCCATTTTTTGAAGGTCTGTCCCTGTGGACGAACCGTTTCCGGGTATTTTCACAGCCAGCTGCACATATATATGCATGCATCTATGCGTGAGAAAAACAAATGCAAGTGGGCGGGGCAGCTCCGCCCACTTTTGGCAAGCCCCGCCCACTTTTGAAAAATGCTGGAAATTGCTCAAAATCAATGAATTTGTGCAAATTCCGGCATTTTTGAAAAGTGGGCGGAGCTTGCCACTGAGGGGGTGGAGCCTGCATTACGGGGGGCGGGGTCAAAGTTAAGATTATTTGAAGTTCCCCTGTCATCTATGAGCTTTTCTATGCGATTTGAGAACGAAAAAGTTTTTTTGTAGAGGGCAATGGAGTGGGCGGAGTTTGCCAAAAAGGGGGCGGGGCCAACATGAAATACTTCCGAGCCTAATTTGATTATATGAACACAAATTGGGACCATTGTGCACATCAAAACTGATGTTTAGGGTGTCGCGCACCATTGCGCGACATCGTCCACAGAGACAGACTGCCTGTCGCGCACCATTGCGCGACACCGTCGTCAACGTGTTAAGAAGAGTGAGGGAGATCATTCTGCAACTTACTATGAGAAAGCTTACTTGTTTGCAGCTTAGATAAGGTTATAGGAAGGTCCAAGGCTGGAGACCGAACTGCACATTTGGTAAAGTGCAATGATTGCCAAGCATGAGAATGGTTGGAGTTTCGATCTTCTCCAATGACTTTGCTTTGCAAGATAGCATTTCGAGGTTTCCTATTGGTTAATTCGTGGTTTCGTTGGGAAAATGATGTGAAGCTGCTGGTTAGCTGGTGTCATGAAAACACAGTTAACATGATGGTTTCGACCAAATTACTACCACTCCGGGAATATAAATCACTTTGAATGAGAACTGATCTCCTGGGAATCCCCAGGGGATCACACAAAATGGCAAAAAACCAATCCTGTATGGACGTAACCTGGCATCCATTATGCGCAGGTATAAGTGTATGAGGACTTTCATAAGCAAGATAGAGGAAGAAGAAGAAAGATACGTAGAGTAGCGAGATATGACGCATCCCCTCTCAGATCCCCTCCCCTCCCCAGCAGGGATGTACGTGCATACGGGCCTAAGTCGATATGTAACATATCTATTACATGTAGAAGAAATTGAGAAGAATTTTATCTCCCGGAGAGGGATGGCGAGTGGGTACGCTGGTGCGCATTCAAAGCTCGTTATTAAGATTTATGTATTAAGTGAAAGGTGGGTTTGGGACTGAAGATACTTAGGGAGGTGGGGAGGGGGCCGTTCTGTAGAATTGCTTTTGACTATGAGGCAAAAAGGAAGCACAGCATTAGAAGGTCGACGGCTTGTGACAAAAAAGCACAGTTCCAAATCTGCATAGTTTTGTTTTGTACAACATTTCTTGATTTTTTGATCTATTAGTCTATGTACCTGAGTGCTGACTGTGAAAAGCTACTACCTACAGATTTCCTCAAAGACTCTATCGCCTGTCAAAGTGGACATTTGAATAAATTTTACTACTCTACAGTTTCTCTATCTTATAAGCAAACTATTATTGTCCCAAATAATGTTGTAGAACAGAAAGAAATCGATTTCTTAAAAGAGAGCCACAATTTGTGACAGTAGCGAAGGCTGCTTGCGCAACTCGCGTAGTTTCCTCGTCTAAACGAGTTCTTGCTTACTGGAATCGCTTCTTCGCTATCTAAACCTTTTCAATATTTGAAGTAATCGTGCTACGCGCTGAAGTGTTCTTGAATGAATTTAGCAATAAACCCATTCGACACTTGAAACTACTTACCTACGTTTCCGTATCCGACGGACTCTACACTGTCTGGTCTAAGAATCACAGAATCCACTTCGGGCATACAAACAGGATAAACATTCACATCCTCATTCAGCTCTATCACAGCAATATCGTAAGAAAGCGGACAAGAAGCTGTTGGATTATATCCTGGGTGAACTATTATCTAAAAAAGCCTTAAGCCTTAATTGTTATAGCTCACACATCTGGTACGCCTCACTTACAGATGAAATTTCGGGATTTATATTGCGGCTCTCAATGATAACACCGCGTTCTTTTAATCTTGGAGGTACCCTGAAACCTTAAGGATGAGAACGCTTTACTGAAAGCTTTTTGCTCCAACGACTTAGCTCGGCGGGCACGTACACCAGGCCAGTGCCGGACTCGCCGGACAGGCGGAGCGCGAGCGGGCATACATGGGAGCCGCCCACGTGTCCGAACTCCGGAGTGTGGACGCTCATGCGATGAAGGAAAATATTCCAACCTCGCCAAAGAACCAAGGTCCCGGACCGAATGCTTGGAACGCGAGAGTTTCGCTTTCAATCGCAGAAAGTTTTTCTGATCCTATGTTGAACTCCTTTTTTGCCTTCTTTGTATCGCTATTCTTTTCATCACTTTTTTCATCTCCTTGAGTTCGAATGCTTTTAGTATAATAATGATAATGCGTGCTTTCTACAGGGTGTCCCAAAAGTCTTTAAGCCTAGTATTTTCTCCGCTGAAAATGTACAAAGCAACATAGAAACATGAATTTCAATAGGTAATTTGCGAAGAACCTACAAAACAAGATGATGCACTCAAATATCGGAAAACCCTTCTTTGGCTTTTACACAGGCTCTCAGACGCTTGCGGAATGCGTGCACCATGGCAGCCAGGTAGTTGACATCGAGATTGTCTCATACCTTCTGAAGCAAACAATCCAGACTGTCCAAAATTTAGCATGGAATAGAGCAAGCCTAGCTTTCCATGACTGATCACAAAGAAAAGTCAAGGGCCTCTTGACCCGGCTATTGAAGGCACGTAAATCTGAGAAGCATATCTGTGAGATTTGACAAAAGTGTCAAAATGTAGCATTCAAGAGTTTAAGAACACCAAGAAAACAGCAATCATGATGCACTGGGAGTACTTTAAAATGGTATTTCAGTAGGAAATGCAGGGCTTACAGCTAAAATTAGTGACTCAAACTGATTAGTGTTGGAGTTCTCAGCTTTCCCAGGTTTTTGTTTCCGAGAACTTTTTCTTCTCATTGGCACGGCACAACTTCAGTGTTTGTATCCTAATCCTACTCTAATGAACTGAGTCTATTGATTTGTTTTGCACTGTAGATGTTGAGTGAACCTAGCTCTACAATATGCAGTTTGAGATTGCACAACAGCTCCAAAGGCAAAAGAGCTGTAAATATTTGAATAGGGGATACGTTTTCTTCCGCTTGTCTTCACGATTGTAGTATTGTTTGCTTCAAGAAGTATATCTCGAGAATGTGCAATGCAAACGGTATGATTTTCTTGAAAAATACTGGCAACTAGACGGGGAACTCAAATGCAAAATTTGGCTGAAAAGCGAGGAATACTAACAAAGTTACTACGTTGAAAATTTAGGCTTAAGGACTTTTGGGACACCCTGTATATATGATTTCGCTTAATATTGTTTGCATGTGATGCGTTTTCATAGAAAATAAGTACATACGAGTAGCAGAAGTGGTGCGCTGGTCCGCTCGATGATTGTCATTATGAAAAATTGACAATTTTAATCGCTTACAGCTCCGAAGCTGCATAAAATACTTTTAATTTGAGTGTAAGCAGAAAGTAATGGGTGTGGGTTCAAAAGAAAAGTTCGCGAACATTTGTACTTAACACATTCACGACAAGGCCGATTTTTCAATTAATGACGTTTCGGACCAGAGCCTTTTTCGCTTTGTCAAACATACGACCCACCCGTGGGTCTTATTGTCCGAAATGGTAGTCTTTTTGGAAGAAATTCAAAACATGTCTCCGAGAATATCCCCATAAGGGTCATCGAATGCGCTGATTGCCAAAATTTGATTTATTTCAGTTTTTGGCAGTATACGGTAAGGTCACGGTATTCTGTACGAAAGCAATCATGGATTTTCATCAAAAAATGTGTTTTGGGGTTATTTTTTCACGTGCTGATCACGATTATAGTGTCCACTTTGTTTACTAGTTTCCCACAGTGCGACTACGGTGGCAGTACGGTAGAATTTTCGTAAGAATCAAGAAACTGATGTAAAAAGGCGGTATCAAAACTTGAGACTATCATTTTCAATCAGCATGCTAAAAAACCTATATATGTAAGGTTTGAACTTTCTGGGATGAACAATGCAAACAAAAAATCAATAAAATCGATAATTTTTGAAGGGCTGACATCATTCTCGTGCCCTCCTGCGTTCATTTAAACTTGAATTCTCAAAAACAGCACCACTCCGCGATTACCTCTGCTACGGTATGTCGGTACATTACAGTATCCCAAACTCGGACCACTCTGGCTGGAGCTTCGCCAAGGTGTACCCAATCATGTGCCAGAACCCCGTGGAATTCCATCGTATACTGGCAAAGCTAGAGCTTCAGGAATCTTACCACCCACCGGTGGGTCGTTTTGTCGTGAATGCGTTAAAGGACAATTCCAGGAAGATCGCGCTTACCAGGCATCTCGCCTGCAACCTAAAATCAAAGTGAAGTTCAAAAACAAAGAGACGGACCCCAGATTCTACAGAAAGATCTAGAAACGCGTTATGTTTGCGCGATAATAGTATCTATGAGAAACTGGCCAGGACAGGACACTTTGAACGATATTTCGTTTACGTTGTCATAAAAGCATTGAAAATTTGTTAAAGTTTTTTTTGACATAATCTCGTGCAACAGATGAACCTTTGCGAAACAACATCACTTGCGCATTAAAATGGCCGCAAATCAAAACTGTTGCAGGCGTCGCAAGAGCGTTACATGGGGCGTCAAATTTGCTGTAAAAGTAGTTCTCCTTGCAGAAAGCTCATCAATTATTATCAAATCAACCTACTATATAATTTCGTGCTTACTCAAGCTTTCAAGGGTACTTCCTCCTTCGTACCATAGGTGTTATGCTCGATTTTTGAAGAGAAGTTTAAATTCAATAGGCTGTGATAAGAGCAGATATTTCTAACAGTATAGTTTCTTTATCCAATTTCTGCAGCCGAGCGCACCTATTTTCTCTCTTTCAAAGAAAAGTTTGTTATAACTTTCATCTTTGGTTATGCAAATATCTTGGAGTTCTGCGACTGCGCTTCTTCATCAGACTTATCCATAATTTAGCCGTCATCAAACATCGGGACCATCTACCGTCCACTCAATAGCCAATTTTTATATCCAGCCTCATCTACGTCAGAAGCAGTATTTTAAGTGATAGGAATATGATGCCAAGAGATTTATACTTCACGATGTTTGTATGTATTTTGAAATAATCAGCTTCAGTTTTGAATACGATGCCTTTTTATATCTGAGACTGTAATAAAGTTTGGTTTTATTCCTTCTAGTCACTTCAGCTCAAAAATTATCAGTTGGCAAGAACAAAGGATATAAGCAAATGCTTCGAAAATCTAATTCCGTTAGGCCAGTTTTGGTCAGTAGATCGCTCGGCTTTTGCGAAACTGGACGAGCGCAGAGCACTGGCATAGCAAAACCGAACGGTCCGGCACAACGCAATGCACACGCACGCTGTTTGCGGGCCGTTCGGCCGAAAATTTGTCCGAGATCATGTATTTCTGCACGACAACAAGAAAGCGAACTTTCTTGACATCATTCGATAATGCTCAACTGTTCTTTCAAATGATGTCAAGCGTCGGGCAATTCTTATTTTTTCGAAAAAATCTCTGTTTTTGATTTACACCTTAGCACTTCGAAGCAGCAAGAAAGCTTTTTTCTTCAGCGCTTTGCAATGTGGCAAGCTTCGAACGCAGTCAACTTTTTGGAAATCTTTTAAAAAAGCTCTTCGAGTTTTTTCAAAAGATGTACAGACTCTAAGTTGTAAAAGCTATATTTGGAGAATACCCTTGGACGTAGTTAGAAGAGTGGTAGCACACGCAATGTGCAGCCGTCAGGACGTGACGAGGTGAAATCAACACACCGGTGCAAGATGGTTTTCGTCTGTACCTATATTGAGTCTCTCCGTCCCACTCGCCAAGAACAACTGAAAAATGGTTCCTCAGTGATTTGTCGAATATTAAGGTTTATAAGACAAAGCTGAGCTTGAGTACTCACTCCGATGCAATGAAACAACAAAGGGATATTCAGAAACTTCGACTGGGACTCGGCGCCTCATGCGTGTTGACGAAAAATCTTCTATAAAATAGAAAATAACGAAGCACTGTACAACCTATGATGATTAGTACGCACTTCCCACATAGGTAGTCAAAGTGTAACTCAAAAACAGTTCTATCTGAAGCTCTTTATTTTGAAAAGTCTCGATCAGCGAATTTTAGATAGGTGTGCGCTAAAGCCCTCTTCCTAACAATGACGGTGCAGGCCAGTCAAAAGCAGCGTCCAAACAGATTCTCCACCTCCATATTTTTATGTTATTAAGGCCTTTTCATGGGCTGGTCATGGATCTCAAAAAGCGTAAATTTTTCCGAACCAACTCTTTGGAGCTATTTTGAGAATACCCGGACGACTGCTTCTAATGCCATTCTTGTCAAAAGCAAGCATTAACAGGTAAGCGCTATGTGTTCGACTGCGTTTGCCATGTGAAAGCATGTCAATGGCTGAGGAGATCCCATTCAAAAGTGTGGCCGTGCGAGGAAGAGGGCGTGGTCCTCGAGGCTCGGACGTCTGCCTGGCCGCTGCCATTTGTCTTCTAGAAGTTCTTCACTTACAGAAAACAAAATCGTAGTGAGGGAACTGAGCTGATAAACATGCAATTTATTGTTCAAGTGTTCTATAATAATTACTACTATTATTGTTCCAATTCTTTTGAGATGTTGGGCATCTGTTGACATCATTGGTTTTTACTACTAAAATGTTGTTTCATCAAAAATCATAATGTTTTGTATGTTACAAGACACCTTCTTTGTTCGTTGAATAGGCAAAAATCTGAAATGGTAGGGTAACTATTAGGCTGATCGGGAAGTAATGAGACACTTCGATTTTTTGCAATTTCGATGATTTTATTCTGATAAACAATTAACAACCAGCAGTTAAGATACATTTGTATGGAGTAATCTTCGCATGTTATCCTGGCAGAGCTCGCAGCTCATATCCTACAATCCTTCGCGCGGGCGGTTCAAAAAAGTCAGACAGACTTTTTTGAACGCCATCAATTCGTACTGCAGTACTTTGAATTCCCTGGGCACATGATATACCACTCGAAAGTGCCTTCCAAACTATTTCTAATGATCGCTTGATCCTGCAAAGCTTTATCATTCTGGATAAAAGAGGCAGCTGATCCGTGCAATAAAAACGTGTTTGGCCCACAATTCTTGAAAGCGAGGTTTTCTCGAGGTTAATTGCGTACATATGGATAGAGCGTAAGCAGTTCTATCAAATGCCATTCGTCAAAGGCGAGTCCATTGATAACCTCGATGAGAAAGAAATACTACGTCACCTGATACTTAATGCTATATCTTCTGCTGCGAGCACTGGGACCATCATGTTACCGTGGTGACAGTCACTAACCCATTGCAGCACAAATATTCTGTCAGCCTCACTGCGGCGTTGCTGCTTCAAGTTCGAAATTGTTTGGAGTGACGAGCTTAGGTTTTGAGCACTTATAAATACGACGCCATGCGAAGTGCCTATCTATAGAGCTCGATCAGAAGACTTTGATATGCACTAACATGTCCCAAAAAAGGGACATCCAATTAACTCTGCTTGAGAAAACTACATTTACTCCTTAGGTGTCCCATTACTTTCCGATCACTCTAATATTAATGGAGCGGATGGTTCTGAAAATGTATACGAAACAAGTACAAAATATTCTTTACTAGGAGATCAGGAATTTGTTTTCATGAGCATTACCTTTCGAAGTCTATTTTCCTCTCTGTGTTAAGCTCTCCAAAAATTAATGTTCGTTTTGAACTTCAGCCGCAGTAGGTCATACACACATACATTATACTTTCACATAGACTGCAGTAGTATTCGATAGAGCAAAGTTCTACAAGATGGCTATCTTACTTTTGCAACAGCTCTCATCCACCTCGAGTTTCGAGCCAAAAGCTAAAAAGGTTCAACTGTCCAATTGAAAAAATCGTAACCCAGTTCATAAGAATCCTACAAAAATTCTAACTTGCCCACGTGAACACTATCCATATAAAACATGTAAATACGCCTTGCAGTGTTTTATCTCTGTTAGAAACAAGAAGACGGAAATTTTTGTCATTAGCCGAAGTGATGCTGTGCTTTCCCTACACTAGCAGCTGTATACCACAAACCTGTAGAAGTATACAAATGTAAATTTTCAGCTCTCTACAAGATTTAGTTCTCGAGAAATATCGAGTACAGCTTTCTGTATTCAGGCGGTCCAAGATAGAATTCAAATTTCTCGAGAACTAAAGCTTGTAGAGAGTTAAAAATTTACGTTTGTACTTCTACAGATCTATAGTATACAACCACTTATGTGGGACGGCACAGCGCCGCTTCGACAAATGCACAAAAATTTCCGTTTCCTTTGTTTTTAACAAAGGGAAAATTATGGCAACAGCGTACATAAATGTCTTTCGTGAATTGTTTACGTGAACAAGTTAGAACTTTTGTAGGATCTTATGAACTGAGTTACGATTTTTCTCGATTTTTCGGGCAGTTAAATCTTTTTATTAAATCCATTTCGGCTTATTCAGAGGTGGATTGTAGTTTTTGCTATAGCAAAATTGCCATCTTGTATAGGTTGCTTTGCTCTATCAGACGCAACTTATATAAAAATCTCTCCTTGGGACCTAAATAGAAATGAAAGATGTATGACTTGTTGCAGTTAAGATCTAAAATGGACAGTAATTTACAACCTAATAGAACGAAGCTAGCGTTTGAGCATATCGTAGAACAACCCTAAGCCAAGTTAAAACAGAAATACTTGTTTTACATCGAATGCAATCAGACATCCTACCACAGGGTGTCCACGTGAAGTGTGAGGCGCTGTGTATACATTTTTTGTCCCGTTCTTGCCATGTTTTGGTGAATTCCTTTCCACTTTCGTCCCGTTGTCGCTATTCTAGACTTCAATTCCTAGAGTTGATTTAGCTCAAAGATTCATTAACCGTAGTTGTTGCCACGAAAACCGAATTGTAGGTTTAAACCGGAAGCAAATTTTGAAGGGCTGTTGTGCTTTCTCAAGGCACCGTCCACCCAGGTTCTCGACTTCCATGTTTCAATCGTTCCGGGGCCTTCTCAGTCCCTTATCCCGGAAACGTGAGAATCCGCGAGGGTCCCGACAATTCCGTTCCAGAGAACCCACCGAGCGGTTTTCCTGAACGATGATTGGATGGGCGCGCATGGGGGCAGGCATCACTGAAGAGGGGCGGTGCCGACTGCCGCCATTCGGGCATTGGCTTAATAGGAAGTTCTACAATCGTGAGCTGCTAGAAGCTCAAGACCCCTAAGGGTGGGCGGTTCCTTTAAGCCAGGCAAACACTATGAGTTTTGCTTGGAGTTTTTGGTAAAGCAAGGCAATAGCCCAGAGAAAAAAAAGAATCTATAATGATGTAAAGTCCATCTTTTAGACATTTACACCAAATAGGTTTAGCCTTCCGATTTGCCTCACCTTGAACCCACATATTTTCTGTTTTACTAAAGGGAAACCTAGTGGAGTTTAAGAGAAATCTCGCCAAAAATCTCAGAAGCGGAGGTGCTCTTGAAGGCCAGGCGAGGATGTCGCGAAGTGGCCGAAATGATTCTACAGAATCTTCCTCTGTTTTGGATGAAGACAAAATTTTGTAATCTTGTTCACTTTTTCAAAGTGATGAGTTTTTCTTCTTGAGCCACAAATCATGTGAACTCCCCTGTACACGCCCTATGGAGGAAGTCTTTTAAACTTTCATCTTTGAAGTCCACAATTAATTCAAAACACCATCACGCTGGTAAGTATGTATGCCGAACATTTTCGGCGAAAATTGATATCTCTCGAGAAAAGCACACTCAAAGCCAAAAATTTTATGGTTTGTTAAAGTTTCGAAGCTTCTGGTATAGAATGGCATAAACGGAAGGAGCCTAGGACTAAAGCGGAATTTGTCATTTTCTTTCTATCAAATGGTATCCCTCATATCTTTCGGTTCGTTATTGCTTTGCTATAATATACTACATTCTTTTCTTTCCAACCCAGTACCATGTAGTAAGGACATAGCCTATTTTACAAGCTAAAAAATATAGGAAAGATTTGTTATGCTTTAGCTGGGGAACGAGTGTAGACAAATTCCGCTCTCCCAGATACTACTATCCTTTCCCTTTTGACTCTCGTAATCTGATGAGAGGTATGGAACCTTGAAAATACTCCTTCTAAATCACGATTAAAGTTCCTTACACAAATTCGAGTTCATATTTCTCAGTAGCCTTATCGTGACACGCTACAAAGTTACTATGCCAAAATAACCGCCATAGGCTCCCAAGTATGATAGTTCATAGTGGTGGCTTACCCAGACAAGCCCACCTATTTTTTGCCGCGATCACTTAATTGCGACCGTTTGCTGAACAAAATACTAAAGTTCCAGCAATCTGTTCTTTGGCAAGCATGAGCATTCTTCAGGTATTAATGCTCGGTATCTCGAAAACTTATTGTGGGCTAGAAACGGTGGCGTATGTTTAATTACGTTCAGTACCTGGTGACTCTGCAAGTCCGCACATTCTCTTCAATTGCTCATTTTCCTTCTTGGTGAGCTTTCTCGCAGAAGCTGCGTGAAGAAGAAGAAGGAGAAGCAGCCAAAGTGAGGTCATCTGTAGATATGAACAATCCGAAAAGGTGAAAGAACTTTTTGCGCAGGATATCATTGACACTTGTTTCTGCTAAGGACGATAATCAGTGGAAGCAAGTTTTGATTTACTGGACTAATGGAAAACCCTAAAAGGGAACTGAAGAATGAAAGAGTACTAAATACATTAGTTGTTAAAGCTTGAATTGAAATTTAATATGAATTTTTTAAACACTTTTACACTCAACCGGTTTCGGGGCTTAGAACTATACCGGTGCGGTATAGTTCTAAGCCCCGGTACTAATGTGTGCAATTCTTAGTGTTTCCCTTTCAATTTAAATGTTTCCACTTTTTATTGATAATGTTAGCTGGCAAACATAAATTATCAATAAATTATCTATCTTCCGTTCCCCTCCCCCCACTTTCCATATTTTTTCTGATAATTCAAGCTTTAGCAAGGGCGACAAAGTACGACAGCTAGACCTAAAGAGCAAAAAATTTTTTCGTGTGACCTCGCCTGTAAATGTAGAAGAGCTGCACAAGCTACTATGTAGCTCTAAACACAGGGATTTCGGCCTAGGCTTTTGATACGGTTACCATCTGTTTGCTTCATCTCACATACCAAGTTATGGCGAAACACTCACTTTAGCTGCTTTTGTTATGAAATAATGCCTGAAACCCTGTTACCGTTGGTTTGTGTGACCTTGGAACCCTCACACTACAAATGGACTATTCTGGAATGGTACTCCTCCTAGTGATAACACCTTTTTTATTGATAAATTAGTTGGAGTAAATGGTTTAATCAAACAAAATCAAGCACAAAGGGTGCAAACCTGGGAGCAATAAAAACATAAGGAGTAATGAGAAAGGATTATAGTCACTTGAGGGATTACGTATGCGAAAAAATTGATAAAGATAACAAGAAGGATTAAGGTTGACATAAACAAAAGGAATCAAAACGAAGGAGATGGGGAGATGCGAGAAGGATCGTATGTTCAAGCAAGCATAGCGCTGCTGCCGTCTGAATCTTTAGTGGGTTGGCTTTTATAGAACTTTGGAGGAGGAGCGTGAGGAGGGTTCGGCCAGTAGCGCGTTGCCATACAAAATTCGCGCTTCTTTAACAATTCGCTCAAAAGAAATCGGGTATTGATATAAAATTATAGAATGCAGTTAATGGGCTTCAAAATAAGCTTGAAACAAGTTGAAAGCGTGCCATATTGAGAACAGTGACGAGTAGCATTCATGCAGCTTCCTTTGACTCTGTTTTCAACAGCAGTATATATTTCGCTCCACAAGGAATTATAAAAAACGCAATGTTGTTTTTATTCAGAAGTCTTGCTAACTCTCTTAGTCGCTCCAGTTGTCTGTCGAAAGACACCATCTTTTTTAGGGTGTGCTTTCACGTTTTCAGTACAAGCGTGATTTACCAAAAAACGGAATCTCTTTGGTACGTATCACGATATCCGAACAGCCCTCGCAGCTGTAGCGTTGATAATCAGCGAGGCGCGACGCGACCTCAAGTGCGCTACACTGTGCGGCACCCTCTCACTCCTTTAACCTTTCAGAAAACAACCTCTCACCAGTCACGCTCGTGCTTTGATGCACGAAGAGATCTATTATGCGTTGCAACTGCTAAAAACATTTGTTGAATAAGGATATCAAAGAAGCGAGTCTTATAAAGGAACAACTTCTGGAGTACTTTCAAATGAGAGACATCAGTTGGTTTTTGAAGGCGAGTGAAAAGTCAAGCTAAGAAATCTAACCGCAGTCAAAAAATGTAAAACGTTTTACCTTCAATGATTTAATGGAACATAAAACGATAAATCTCTTAGGAAGAGAAGGTACTTAACTTTTGTTTTTGGAAATTTATTGATCTGCAAGTAAAACTTGATTTGCTGACTCATGTCATTACAAATGTTTCACAGTATTTCTAGATTGATTTTTAGTTTTCTAGTTGTGGTTGCAAAAGTATAATGCACGACCTAGATCTTTTCGCATCTCAAAGTGTGGTGCGCGAATGGCAAGAAATCTGGGCTGCCGCGTAGCGCAGCGCAAATAAGCCTGCGCCGATCCTAGCTGATTACCTGGCAGCAAGCGGCTGTCCGGGTATCAATCGACCTTCTCCCAAAAGTCTTCTGTGCCTAAAGGCTTTAGTCTTACAGAAAAATCGTTTTGATGGAGCGCTCTCGAAGCTTCACTACAATCGCCACGAAGCGAAAGGGCATGATAACACAAGCTTACCTACATGCTTTTGTTCGCAGTGGAATTCATCGCTGAGGATCAATAAACTTCTACATTGTTCGTGTTTATTGTATGTTGATCAAAACATGTGTGCAAAAAATGCAGAATCGATCTTTGTTTTGTCGGAGGAACTTTACAAATACAGGCGTCTTTTTCTTGCTGGTTTAGTCAATGATCTCTGCCTTATTGAGCATACTGCCCTCTTTCTAATACGTTTGTTCATGATTGACACTTTCATTGTTGGCCATGAAGTTCTCAATCTGAAGGGAAAACCCCTGCTGTAAGCCTTATATAGTAGGGGGACGCCCATCACTTGAGGGTGTCAAATAAAAATTGCCGCGACGCGCGTTACAGTAACCTGGGCGAAAAGCAGCAGCCAGAAGAAATGTTCCAGATATAGATCAAAAGCTCTCTTATCTTTGAACCTGGGCATTTTGATATGTGTCAGTAAATGATTGTTGTGCCGAAACCAGGTTTCTTGGTGGATGTTTATTCGACCGACGTTTCGACGGGCTCGTCTTTTTCAAGAGGTCTGAACGTAGATTATGGTTTTTGGATCTGACCAGTACGCCGCCAAGAGCCTCCTCCACGAGTGCTAGTCTAGACCTTATCGGAGGATAGCAGCCAGCGGGAAACCATCAAAGTTGTGAAACGAGCTAACCTTAACTCCACCGCATACCAGTAAGTCCGCACAATGGGACAATAGCGGACGTCACTGAGTGTCACCCAGTGAGTCAAGGGTATTTATGTGCGGCTGTTCAGATTGCGTAGCGGTATGAACGGCAAGAGATCACTGTTGATTGACACGCATTCATTCTTAGCATTCATTCTAGGATTCCTCGTAAGTATCCATGCTGCCTCAAGGATCTTTCTTGCGCAAATCTCAGTCTCGTAAGACAGAATGGTACATTTGACTTTGAAGTCATTTCCACCATGTGCCTCAGCTTTGTGTCTTCCCAACGGTGTTGTTAATATCTCACGTCTTTTGCTAGCCAAATGTTCCTTTAGTCTTACACCCAGCGCTCTACCCGTCTCTCCTATGTAGCAGTCTTGGCAGCTCAAACATTCCAGCTGGTATATCACACCATTGGGAAGACAACCTTCGCACAATCCCCAACATTGCCGTACGGGCATACGATGCATTCATCTACTATGCATTCGTAATCGTAGAGTCTATTTCGAACTAACTGCTTCTCAATGTTATCCTTCGGTACCTCAACCAATATCACATCATTCTGCAGTTCAGCTCGGTGAATGCATCGTCTAATTGCCGCGCTAACCTTATCTGATATAAAAGGGATGCAAAGTGGAACCTTATTATTATTCTGTTTACGGATAGAGGTATCGGAAGGTGCAAAAGTTTTGCATCTGTGTTCATTCGGTACATATCCGTTACTCTGCGCAATTTGTAATGCCAGCTTTCGTGATTCGAGCTGTTCTTCGTGGCCTGTGCATACCGCTGTAGCAGTTTTCATCATGTTGCGGATGACCGCTCGTTTTGTTGCTGCAGGGTGAGCTGACTTTGCGTGGATCAAGATGTTTTTGGATGCTTCCTTACGATACCATTTTACATGGAGTACACTATCAGATAATCTGATCTGTGTGTTCAAATAAGGGAGCCATCCGTTACGTGGTGTTTCTCTAGTGAACCGTATGTACTGGGACTGTTGGTTTAAAATCGCAAAGTACTCATCCATTTCGGCTTGAGTCGATGTTATTATACAACAGTCGTCGATATATCCACAGTACACTAACGGCATACGCGCAAGTACTGGCTGCTCGATTTTACTCATATAACATACTGCGAGAACAGGTGCTAGGCGTTGACCCATAGCCAGTCCTCGTATCTGGGAGAAATATCTCACAGACCACTTGAAGATGTTACATTCCAACATGCTCGAGTGAGGGCCAGTATTTGCGTTTTGTTCAGACCAAAGGTGTTTATGGCTGTTATATGTTCGTCCAACATTCCAGAGAGAGCGTGTAATGCGTCATCGTTATGGACATTAGTGTATAAAGAAGTCACATCGAAGGACTCCATAATGACACTATGTCCAAACTTCGTGTCACGCAGCTGCTCTAGAAATTGATGAGTATTGGACAAATGAGCGGGCACCTTTGGCAGAAGCTGGTTCACGATCTTGCAGATAAACCACGATATGCGATCCGTAGGTCCTCCAACGCAGCTAATTATGGGCCGTATCTTATAAGACTCCGGTGACATGGCGCGCATTTCGTGTGACTCAATTTTATGCGTTTTTACGAAGTGGTAAAAAACTGGACAGTTTGGATTCTGTGACTTTAATCTACTTATCAGTCGCTCATCGAGACCTGCAGATCTGCCCACGCTCATCCAAATATCGTTCAATTTTTTACACTGGAGCTGGTAGTCTTTCATAGTTGCAGGTTGGTAAATTGCCGTATCTGTCAAATGCAACTCAACGATTTCTCTATCCAGCGTTTGCGGCATCACAACAAATTCGCCACCTTTGTCACTTATGGAGATGCGGATAGATTGCTTTGCGATGGAATCGCGCAGCTCTTTCAATCCTTGCCATTGACGACGCGTTAGATTCGTTGTGTGGTCGTGCTCAAACTTTCTTAACACATCGAAAATTTCCATCGAAAGCATACGGAATTTGCGGTCAGCAGTTGGGGTAGACTCCGGTTCTTTATAAAAAGAACGAGGGAAGGTCACCGTTGCTAAGGCATAAGTATCACTTGGCAAAGATAGCTGGGGCTTGTTCTGTTGTTTCTCACGAATTCGTAGCGAATTGCGTAATCATTAAAGAGCTCCCACTACTTTTCGATAAACTGAGGAATTGATAGTTTGCGTTGGTGAAAATGAAGGAACAAGATTGAGGAATTCATGAGCATACGCAGACAGTTGAACGTCGCCTATCACAGTGACTCTCGTCGTTTCTACTTTACCGTCAGATATATTTTCATCGTGAGTTTTCAGTGAGCTGTTCAAAACTATTGCATGTTTTTCACGCTGTGCACCTGCGATTCGGTCGTACTTTTTGCACAGTGTAGACTTGGCTCTAGACCGAATAGAGTCACAGATCCCCCTTGATCCGCTCTCAATCCTCTCCCAAGTTACAACGGGCAAGATACGCTTACAAACAACTTCTTTTGCATTACATTTTACAATGCTACTATACAACAAATGTTGCCTCTGTCTAATAACGATATTTACATCATTTTGTAAACCTTCTCAATTCTTGGATCGTTATCAGGAAGGCCACATGTCGAGCCTATTTTCTTGTTTAAAATGAATGCCGGTACCATTCCGTCTTACGAGACTGAGATTTGCGCAAGAAAGATCCTTGAGGCAGCATGGATACTTACGAGGAATCCTAGAATGAATGCTAAGAATGAATGCGTGTCAATCAACAGTGATCTCTTGCCGTTCATACCGCTACGCAATCTGAACAGCCGCACATAAATACCCTTGACTCACTGGGTGACACTCAGTGACGTCCGCTATTGTCCCATTGTGCGGACTTACTGGTATGCGGTGGAGTTAAGGTTAGCTCGTTTCACAACTTTGATGGTTTCCCGCTGGCTGCTATCCTCCGATAAGGTCTAGACTAGCACTCGTGGAGGAGGCTCTTGGCGGCGTACTGGTCAGATCCAAAAACCATAATCTACGTTCAGACCTCTTGAAAAAGACGAGCCCGTCGAAACGTCGGTCGAATAAACATCCACCAAGAAACCTGGTTTCGGCACAACAATCATTTACTGTTCCAGTATGTTTTGAGGTCACGTTGTTTTTTTATAGGATTTCCACTTTTACTGAACAGTAAGATTTGATATTATAGCGTGAAAACCTTTACAAAAGATGGAATAGTATGCTTTGCGGGTCCGCCACCGAGCTCTCCTCGCAGCTGATTACTGCCAGCCTATCGCGAGCGGCGCCTGCGCAATTGATAATCACAGGTAATGGTAAAAGCCCTATATAGTATGTACGTACATATACAGGGTTTCCGAATCAAGTCTCGCCGACATGGAGAGTCTGCCCCACGAGCAAGTACGTCATTCTTATAAAGTCGAGTAAGCTCGTTTCATTTGTTGATGTTCGGCTTTGCGAAGGCGGCAAATTTTTATATTCGCTCCCAGAAAGCACGACTTACCTCTCCTAAGTTTGTTCATGGCCAATACATACAAAGACTATATTGTCACGCGGCACTTTACATTATCACACTCCCACATGTTTTGCTTGGTGTCGCTTTCCTCTGCATCCTGTATTAGTTTGCAGAATAGGCCCAGTTTACATCATTCCGAAAAATCGAGATGAAGGATAATACCTTGTTTGCGCTCGTTCTTGGTCCAAAAAGCGAAATCATAATTGTGCCTGTACAGGACTATTAATGAACAGTCAACATGGAAACATGCGATCCTGGAAGTTGATTTGGTAGATGAAATAAACCGTTTAGCAATTTCTCAACATGAATCATTATTCTTTTCTTTCGGTTGGAACCGCCATTTGGTAATTGGACTTTTGTGGAAAGATTTTGTCTGTGTCTGTTGTAATTCTTTCTTCAGTTACAAAATGACATATAGCCAACCAAACAAACACTACCGAATACTTGATTAATTTGCGGAACACTGCGTCCCTTTCATCAGGCACATCATTATTCATGTAGTCCCAACTGTTATTGATCTTTGGATTCGAAAAGTGATGCTGAAGCATTTATTGATAAATTGCTAACTCTCAACATCTTTTTTGTTGTCGTCATTGGGTACCACTGAGAATACTGCTGAGACAGTAGACGGCGGTGGTGAAGGTGTCCACTCCGATTGATGACTGGTAGCTCCAGAAAGTGGACAAACTCCTGCATAGAAACATATCTCAATAAGAAGGAATTAGGGACTGATAGCCAAAGAAATACTGCCTTTTCAGCATGTTAATTAATCATTCTAAAGAGCTCCATGTTTTCATGCTTGGAATCAAATAAGTTCTTAGGTCACTCCGCTTACCAGTTTCATCGCAAATCCAGTCCAGGTGTTTTCGCACATCGCTGAACATGCCTCCAACTGAAAATATAGATAGAACTACTGGAGATCGGGTCGTTATTAAGGTGAGCTTAAAGCTTTTTAGAAACCCCGGTTTTTTGTTGTCATTTTTGGACCTGAATCGATATTGCTGCACAAAGCGAAATTTACATTTGACAGGTGAGAGCAACAAAAACGGTGACTAAATTTTAGTCCTCAAATTTTGAACTAGAAATTTTAAGTATTGTTTTGTGTGCAAGTTGCAATGTGAAGTTGAAGTAGCGAAAGATGCCATCTTTCGCAAGAAACAATCAAAGAATTAAATGTGTTACAAACTATTGTTTAGTGATGCTACAATACCAAGTGTCCCAAAAAGATGTGAACACTGTTGGATCGCTGATGACTCTCTTGCTTTCATGTCTTCGCCGAGCTTGAGGTGTCGTTCTGTAAAGCGAGATTCAATTCGGATTCGCAGTATAAAAAGAAGCATCGGTCACTTTTCATTAGTAGGTTTACGGTATGAAGTTTCAGCATAAAGCGCAACTGTGGAATAGGCATTGTTATGGGAAAATCCCAAAAAAAACCTAGAAATTTTGTAGCGAGCTTTTCAGACGTCCTGATTTCACTACACAACTTTCCACCAGTTTTTTGAGCTCTTTTAAGGATCTAGTCACACTTCTGACGAACTCTGTAAAATAGTGGTAACTAACCGGAGATAAATTATGGAAGAAGCATTACAGTAGATTGCATATTTCACATTTAGAACCAGCGACCTCGTTTAGTCTAGTACAAAAGTTTCTGGCTTATTTGGTTTTCCTTTTGAGAGAAAATCGCTTTCACTTCCTCGAAGTCCTTCTCGAAGTTCAGTAATCCTACACTAATAAAGAGTGACTGATGATTCTTTTTGTACTGTTATTCTAAGCTGAACCTCGTTTTAATGGACCTTGAGCCCGACGAAAGACATGAATGCAAGAGAGTTACCAATGATCAAACAGTTTCCACATCTTCTTAGGGCACCCTGTACATGTAGCAAGGAATTTTCGCTACAGTGCAACTTATACTATAAATATTCTAAAACTAGACGGCTTGTTTCTTTTTATTCGTTAAAGGAAATTCGAAAATTTTGCATCTTCACTTTGGTTTCCAAATATTTTTGTAGTTCTTTGCTTAATTATTACGAAAAAATCACCAACGCTCTTAAAAACAGAATTCAAAGAAGTTTCATTACCATTTTTGTGACTGCACTAAACTATCATCCATGCCTCGGTAATTAGAAAATGCCATAGTATGCGCAAACTATTTTTTTCGTTGCATTGTCTTGGGGTAGTCAGTTTGGTTCACCTCCAACTGAAGCTACTTTTCCGTTTCCAAAGAATGAAGAAAACTCCTTTGCAGTGGCATTGTAGGATGCTATTCCAAGAAGGAAGTGTTTCTCTTCTAAGTTCTGAATGAGCGGACCTCCGCTGTCTCCCTGAAAATAAAAATGCGGTACTACGTTTTTGGCTCCATCCTAAGCATATTGTTTGAAGCGCTCCTTGATTAAGATGAATTTAAAGCATGTAATTTCCCACTCGAGAAAAATGCACGAACAAAATTGATGCAATTTGTTAGGGAGCACCATAGTTTTGCTGAGAATCAGAAAAATTTTCGGAGCCCATGCGGTAACAATGACCTCAAAGAGAAAACTCACTCCAACGATATCAGCTATAACATTCGAAGTCTTGTTGTAGACAAAAATAGTCTTCTTATACTGCTGCACAAATTGGTACCTTACCGATTGTAAGCGCTGACCTCCTGGAGTATTTAATATAATATCATAGAGGATATGAAGCAAGTAAGATTTCTAAATCACAAATGTTGCAAATTGACTACATATAGAAAAGAATTCATATTCATTTTATCGCTTAATTCGCTCAATTCATTCCACATCAAGGGTAAGAAAGTGTAAACCATACGTAAAAACAACAGTAAGAAGCATCACCACGTCATTTTAAGCCATTCTGACAGATTTAAATAGAAAAGAGTAAGAGACAAGCTTGCGCGAGCACGTCAAGCAACAAATTTGAGTTTATATAGATTCGAAGGAGAAGTACCACGTTTGCTAGAACATAATGATCCCTATTACCCAGTAAAAGCAAGACGTCAGCAACATATTGAATATGAAAACAAAGTTATAGGATGTTTCCATTTGCTGAGGAACTGTCTTAAAGATTCGGCAAACCTCTGACTTAAAATTTTTTTGATGGCGATCCTACGCGCTGATTTCGGAAATCAGGATGCGCGAAAATGTTGAAATCTAGCTTTTCCCAAGGCTCCTCAATATAAATTTGGACGAGTACGGTTTGCCAAGGTTAAAGGCGCAGAGCCGTTGCGGAGCTTTCATAACATTGCGACATGCCGACGGTAGGAGGGGAATCGCGAGCTCGTCCGTGCGCATATATTTGAAGGCACTTTTTGGCGGGGGCAGCATGCTCTGTTCTCATATTTGGGTTGTGAGGAACCTACCAGATGAGCTCCGAGATTTCAGTTCTGCCGAGCCAATGCTTCAAAGACCCCACTCTTAGCTTAGCTTAGTCCAGAACAATTCTGCGATACGACAGATATTCAGGACCATTGTTTTCAAATGTCTATCATGATATGGGAGCATACGCTGATATGCTTGCTTAGGAAAATAACGATAAAAGAGAAGTTTGATGAAGACATTTTCAACGTTTTCCATGGTCTCTTTGTGCTTCTCCAAGGGCACCACACTGGACTTGCTCCTAATATAGGGATTACGCTTGCTTTTTTTACATAGAATCAATAGTTCAGGGTGCTGTCCCAAAGTATGTATACGCTGTTCATTCGTTAACATCTTTCTTCCAAAAAAGTTATTTGGCTAGTTCCAGGTCTCGTTTTGTAGAGCTGACTTTAGCTTAGATTTGCGCTATAGGGAGAACCATCGATTCCTAATCATCACTGTAGGGTGACGACAGGGGCATTAGTAAGGGTTGTGAGCCCCATAGTGCCTCAAAAGCTAATCAAGCGACCTTCTCTTACACTAGGCTTCTGCACTTCGCAGTGATTCCTCATAAGTTGAGCTAGGTTGACCGGTTCTTTAGATGTTCCCTAAAATTGTGACTACACCATTTGAAAATCCTTACAAATTCTTGAAAATTTGAGAAACGAAATCAGCGCGCGTGAAAACCTTGGCACACCACTTTGGATTTTTTGGGAACTCTTCTTGAAACACAATTTCACAAAGACGCTGTAAGCTAAGCTAAAACTTTCTGCCGTAATCCAGTAATGAAGAGAGTTTTGTGATTCGTTTTATAATGTAATCTAAGTTTAAGCTTGCTCTACAAAATGGCCCTCAAAGGCACGCAGAAGTTCTCTTGGGAAGAGAGATCTTAACGATAAAACAGTGTATACCTTTGGGAACCCTGTATTTTGTTAGAATCTGCAACGAAACGCGGTTTTCGCAAATCTTGACAACTGCAACGACTGTTTGCTTCGCTTAGTCAGTTCCCGCGTGTAGATATTCTTGAATTTTTCGTACGCTGCTTTTCGAAACTGCATGTAATTATGCCAAACACTAGGGTGCTGTCATTTGTTTTAGCAGTTTAGATCCGTCAAGTTCAGGCTGGTGCAAATGCCATCAAGTCTCTTGTCACAATTTATGAAGTCCCCAACACCAACAATCAAGAGTAAAGCATTCACCTACGTCTCCGTATCCAATAGATTCTATCTTTTCTGGGCTAGAAATCACAGAATCCGCTTCAGGCATGCAAACAGGAGCAATATTCACACTCTTATTCAGCTCTATCGTGCCAATATCATAGTCCGTGTTGGAGCAAGTATAGTTCGGATGCGGTACTACCTAAAAAACGCTAGTACCATCGTCCGTAAGGAAAACTAACTCACAGATGAAATTTCATATATTTTCTCGGATTTCCAACACCTTCTGGTGGTGCAGCTGCTCTCAAGGAAAACACCAATTCTTTCCGCTGGACGTATTGGTGGGTGCAGCCTAGTATAAATTTTTGTAGATGATAAAGAAACGCACAAAAAGGGAATACCCGTGAGCGCAGAATGTTTTGGACCTTTTGTATAAGCAATGTGCAGCCGTCAAAATATGACGAGGTGAAATCAAAACACCGCTGCAAAATGGTCTTGTGTGCGTTTCAAGTGTCTTGCCTGTCTTGATATCCGTGTATCCATGATATACTGCAAAATGTTTCTATTCATGATTGTTCGAACAGGTGCAAGCTATACAAAAACTATTAAGGAGGCTCACATACTAACCAGTGCGTTGGGACAACGCAGCAACGAACGGATATTCAGAAACTTCGACTGCTTGTCGAATCATCACGAGTGATTCGTCTGATGAACCTTCTATACAGAAAATATAAGAAAAATTGTACTTGAGAGCAAGATGCATTAAGACAAGCACCCCTTCTAGTGTATTACGTGGATCAAGCTGAAAAAAATTTCTTAGAAATTTTGATAAAAACCAAGTGGCGCATATATATAAAGCTGAATGTCTGTTTGTCTGTATGTGTGTCTGTATGTATGTCTGTATGTGTGTACGTATGTTCCGAATAGAAAATTCCATTTCTGAACCGATCTGGACCAAACTTGGCACACATACACTTGGGGCCCCGGCGGGTGTCATAGGCTACTTTTCGTCATCGATCGATATCGATTTCATCGATTTTTTGCAAAATTGCTACAGGGCTGGGAGTTGGCACAGGGGGGTAATCGAGCATGCTGATTACAAATATATTATTGACAGGGCCGGGCGGAGCCGGGTAAGCCATCTAGTTTCTAATAATGGAGGTTTAGGGCCCAGTCCGTTTCTAGGCCTTTCAAAAACGCAGTTCCTCCATACTTTGGCAAAGTTTTACTAAGTCCCCTTTGACCTTTTTTGGGAACGTCGACTAAAAAAACCTAACATAACTTGTGTTTTTACCACCCACAAAAACGATGCCCTTCGCCTTTTCGCCCCACAAACGAAATCCAGTCTGCTTCTAAATGATCTGTGCCGGTCCCTTAGGAGGGCACCTAACTCAGCTTGGCCTTTTAAATAATACAGTGACCGTCAAAAAGTTGCGGACAAGCCGCCTTCCTTTTGTCATCGCTCATTTTCCGATGGAAACAAAGATGAAAAATGAGTGGGTTGCATGAGATGATAGAGGTCTTCAAGAGCTACAACCACACATTGCGCTTTCCGAAAAATGTGTATTCTAAAAATGTCAAAAATTTTTTTTACAAAAAAGTCCGAAAATGGCCGCGTCACAAATCGCGGACATTAATTCTTCAAACGTGAAAATTTTCCTTTAGCTCTTTGTTTGGAGCAAAAACATATGTGTTCCTGACAGATAAGCATACTATATTATGGTGGCCGGATGGTGGGGGTGATGTGGAGGTTTGGTGAGCGGGTATGCTGGTGGCCCCCTACCAGTGTACCCGTCTGGATATGTCGGCGGGGGCTGCCGGCGTATCCGTTTGCCGAGCTTCTGCTCCCGCTCCCACTGTTGGGCCACTTTCATGTCTGTTGGCTGGCGAGGGTAAGTGGATATACGAATTCTTTAGTCTGGAATTTACACTACTCGGTAGTATGCCCTTTCAGCTTATTTCTGGTCCCACCCATATGTTGTTGCTTGATTTGCTGATCAAAAGATATCCGGTGTTTTTTTTGTTTTGTTTTGTGTTTACTACTTCATTTTCATTGCGGCTCTCCTTAGTATCCTCATGTTAGCTGTTTCGTTCGATTGATAGCACGCCGAAGTGCGTATGAATAAATAAATAAAATAAATAAATAAATTATGGAAGCTCATCGAGGACAATCATCATATAGTGGTTTCTTCTAAAATCGAGTTTGAATTTTATTTTGGTTTTTTTCAAAAAATGACTTAAAATTACCTTTTTCAAGACTAATTTTTTTCACATGGAAACATATAGACTCCCAACAAAACTGTTTGGATAAAATGAATGCTCTTCGCCATACTCTATGCATCGGACCTGTGCTGGTCAGTTACCTTGCTGAAAATGGCTCTTAACGGTGAGTGCACATCACCCCATCTGCACCTCACCACTGACTTTAACCGCTTCGCAGGCTTGTAGCTCGGCCAGCGGCAGACTGCGAGACTGCAAGTAGGCTCATTCGAAAGAGCGTGACTTCCTCGACACGAGGTTATGCAATGAGTTGAGTCTAAGGAATCCCTGAGATTTTACGGATGGGGTGAAAAAGCGCAGCCTTGAAGGTGATTTGGAGTGAAAGCTCTTATCAACATCAGAACAATCTTGGAGCTTCGAAATGGATTTATTACAAAAACTTGACAATTCTGAACTTGTGGGATTGAAATGGCAGTAATGAGCTCTGTTCAACTTTAGCTGAAAAATCCATCGCCTACCACTGAAGCTGCGCTTTTTCACCGTATCCGTAAAATCTTCCAGAGTTCCCAAACTCAATTTATTTGCATAAGGAAGTTACACTCTTTGAAATGAGCCTACTTGCAGTCTCGCAGAATGCCTGCTGACCGAGCTACAAGCCTGCAAAGTGGTACGTCAGTGGTGAGGTGCAGATGGATTCATGCACACCACTATCAAGAGCGATTTTCAGCGAAGAAGCACACGCCCGAGCATAGAATATGGCAAAGAGCATCCATTTTATCCAAACAGCTTTGTTGGGATGTCTTGATAGGTTTCCATTTGAAGAAATTTGCCTCGAAAAAGGTAATTAGAAGTCATTTTCTGAAAAAAAAAAGCAAAATAAAATCCAAACTTGGTCTTTCTTGGGAGAAACCACAATATGTTGATTGTCTTCGATAAGCTCTCTGAGAAAGTATGCATATCTGTCCGGAAAACTTCTGTTTTTGCTTCAAACAAAAACCTAAAGAATGTTTTCGCGTTCGAAGAATCATTGTCCGCTACATTATAACGCGGCCATTTTCTAGAAAAAGATTCTTAAAATTTTTCGAATACGCATTTTCCAGAAAGCGCAATATGAGTTGAGCTCTTGAAGAGCGCTATCACCTCATGCAATTCAATCATTTTTTGTTCTGTGTTGTCCATCCGAAAATGAGCGATGAAAAAAGGAAGGCGGCTTGTTCACAACTTTTTGGCGGTCACTCTATAGAAGGATTCAGCTTGAAACGCTGATTCAAAATATGCTATTTTTAGCTGCGGCGCAATCTTAAAGCGAGTTATTAGCATTTTGCTGTACGAAATTGCTACTTAAAACGGTTCTGAAGGTGTGTGTTTTCATATTTGTGTTTGTCTGTATGTCTGACACGAAATTCAGATCATGAGCCGCAGCAGAGTTTCAAGCCACAAATTTGGCACAGCATACAGTGCCCAACACCTAAATCCCTTCATGCAAAAGTACGACCGAACTCACCAATCATTAGCTAGTAGCTTGTAGCTTCCAGAATCAGGCTGAGCCAGCTGGATCAGTAGGCTCAGGCTTTCTGCAAAGTACCCCATTTTCACGCCTAAAAAGAGGGAGCGGGGGACGGGAGGAGGTCCACAATCGACCAGTAAAATGGACCCCTATCAGATTTTGGAAGTGTTAAGTAGTAGACCCCCCGAATATACCGTAGCCCCAATCCGACCCTCCATCTTATGCTCTAAGCCCTGGAATGGAGGTCCAAAACTCCACCAGTCTCGCCCATTTCCATTGAGTGGGCGTCATTGGTGGAGTTTTGAAGCGCTTTTTCAGGATTTAGCGCATGAATTGGAGGGTGGGGTTGGGGCTACGGTGTATTTGTCAGGTCTACTACCTACACTACCAAAATCTGACAGAGGTCCAATCTGCTGATCCACAGCCTTTAAACACCAAAGGACTTTGGTACCAAAGGACCATCTACCGTACTTCAATTGCTTAATACAATCGTGCTGTATAAACATCGCCTTCCAAAATACCTCTGCCCCAATCCCAACCAGACCAAAATTGGCATGGCGGGCCGCGTCGCTAGGGTTTCGCGGTCACGCCCACGGCATGCTTCTGTGTTCTCTCTTCAACCCTTTTGCTCTCTCCGACAACGCGCATAGCAGCGCAGACCCCTAGCGCTGCGAGCGCGCAAATTCACGCCGACAGTTCGGCCTGATCCCGATTGGAGCAGACCGTACAGTGAAGCAGTTGAAAGGCTCGTTTGAAAAATCGAAAAAGGTGCGCTTACGCGTAAAAGGGTAATTGTTTGACGAGCAAATCTGCAAGCCATGAGTTTTAGCCCAAAAAATGAACATAAAGTCGAATTTCTTGCCAAGGTAGCGCCAAATACGAATGATTACGTAGAATGTGGATTTGTCGAGGTACTACTCTTGGCATATGATTTTTGCTCAGAGATGTAACCCATTGCGGCTATCGTCCCTATGGTCACTGTCAAGCCAGAATACAGTGTGTTTCATAACTATAGGACCTCCCTAAAATTTGGGGTTTCCGGATATACAGAAGAGATCGAGTACTCTGCGAGTGCCTGTGTGATCTACATATGATATGAATGAAATGACATCTCAATCAATGTGTCTATTCATTTGCTATTCTACATGTAAAGACATGTCTATTCTCCCACTGTTAACTATACGACACCTTTAAGCAAAACTTCTTCCAAGGAAAACAAACATAGAACGGGATTTTTATGACTAGTCGGGTTCACCGGGGTTTTTTACCACTTCATCAAGTCTACTGGAAATGCTTTTGACAAATTCATGCATGTCTTCGGCTCAGTATTATCCATACGTCCACAACTGCTCCAACTTTCCAATGCCTCGCACTATCTGCTCAGAAACTCTGTGTCAGTAATCTCCAGAGATTTTGTGAAAGGTTTAAGGCAGGACAGTATGGTCATCCTTTACAGAAGCTGCTCGCGATGCTGGCGTAGAACGGGATTAGTGACTACCGTGCATGTTCAGTGCGTTGTGTTGCTTCGAAACGAAGTGCTGTCACCGGCGCTTGTGAAAGTAGAACAGTGTTGGCTTTCCAGTACTTCTTGGGACTGCTTACATCTGGTCACTCGGTCTTCTAGGTGTCACAGAAGTCTAAACTATTAGGTTGGTGCAAAAGTAATGCGCGCTTTGCGAGTTCTCATTTTGACTTGCTATAACTTTCTTAAGAATCCATAATCTTGACGCGATCAAGATCATCAAAGGCAGCAAACTTTGCGCAATACAGCGCACATCCTCAAGGTCATATCACAAACGGCCAGAAAGTTATCGACAGGATAAGCAAAAAAAGTAAAATCTGTTTTTTAACTTGGCATAACACCCTACAAAATTTGTTAGTATAAATGCTAAATGCTAGCCTATCTTGTAGCCGCAGGCCAGTAGTAAAAAGGAAGATGGAAAGGGCTCAAATGAAGAGAGTCACGAAAAGAAGAAAATTCAAAAACATA